GAAGGTACGGCGTCTCCACTAGGCCTCCATCTTGGCGGAAGTCCCCTAAACTATTTATTTTTTTTTTTACAATAATGTGTCTGTGTACTATTTGTGTAAAAGTAGAATAAACTGTATACTTCTAAATCCAGAGGATAAAAAATAAGCCCCAATCACTGTTTGAAGTATGCATAAGGTTTTGTGGAGGGCATTTGACAAATCTTAGAAAAAGCAGCGGGCACCCTAAATGAGTGTGGCTCACCCTGGCCCACATGGCTCCGTTGGTTGGAGTGTCATCTGTAAACCGAAAGGTCATGGGTTTGATTCCTGGTCCAGGCACATGCCTAGGTGATGGGCACATACAAGAAGCAGCTGATCAATGTTTCTCTCTCACATCGAAGTTTTTCTCCCTCTCTTTCCCTCTAAAATAAGCATATCCTCAGGTGAGGATTAAAAACTGAGTGTGAAGTGCCGAACGTGCCACCTGGCAGTGTCCGGCACTGGGCTCGGTGAACGTAACACATTGTTAATGCGTTTGCCTCTGGAAGGCGGGCTCTCCTCTCATTCACTGCTGCTTCCCCGCACCCAGAACTGTGCGTAGAACACGGTGGGGACTCAGTCCACACTGGCTGAAGGCATGAATGATTTGATGAGTGAGTGGACCTCAGACTGACTCGTGCAGATGGGCAGGCGGAGGAACGAGCGCTGGGGGAAGCTTTAATTGGTGGCAGCTGGTCGTAGGTGCTGAGAGAACCAGCTGTGGCCCAGAGCTGAGAAGGTCGAAGGCTGTGAGCTGCTCAACTTGACCCTGGACACGAACTGAGGGCGCTGTTGGGGCCAGACCCAGGGCAAGGCGTTTGTTACGGGAGCACCTTCCGGTTCTTTTTAACCAATGCTACTGAAGTCCCAACTAGGGTACCACAGCAAATAAAATGAGGCGCTCCATGGGCTTCGAGGGAGAGGAAATGCCGAGCTCTGCACCCAGCACAGCCCCAGGCAGGGGTGGGCAGGAAGGAAGGGTCCTTGGCTTGGTTCTGGTGCCCATCAGGTGGAGGGGCTGCCCCAGCTGCTCCCAACACTGAGATGTCCAGGAGGACAGAGAAGTCAGCTTGTGCTAGTGAGTGAAAGCCTCACTTTCGTATGCCTGAGAAGTTTAAAAACAACAGCAACAAAACCCCACCAGGACTCTCCAGCTTTTCTCCTCCTACTTGTCTGTTCTGGGTGGAAGTTTATAAATTCCAAGGATATTCTTGGGTTTGGGGGGCTGGGGCTGCAGGGCTGAGGGAGCTGCCTAATATATTACAAGTCCATTATGTTATTGAAGTAAGATCGAGAAGATCGTGAAGAAGATTCAGAGGCCAGAGTCTCCAACCTAGCTAAATGTCCCCTTCTCACTTGCCAGGTGACCTTGTACAAAAGCTCGGACATGGAGGACTTTGGGTTCAGTGTAGCAGACGGCCTGCTGGAGAAAGGAGTGTATGTCAAAAATATTCGCCCAGCCGGACCAGGAGACCTTGGTGGCTTAAAGCCCTACGACAGGCTCTTACAGGTAAGACTGCAGGTGGAATTCAATTAATTTAACTCTTCTAAGTCTTCCTTGACCAAAGCCCATCCATCCTCCTTTGTCTCAAACCTAGATTAGAAGCTTTCCTTTGGTAGAATTTACCGGTCATTGACATTGCCCATTTCCCTGTACGTATTCTTCAGCAGATTACCCACTCCCTGAGGATGAGGCCAGCACCTTATTCTCCCATTGGCCGTTGTACAGTGCTTGGTATCTTGGTAACTGACACAGTATCTGAAACCACAGATCTGAACCGTGTTTGTTGAATGGAGTCCTGTTGTGGTCAGGTGTGGTTTCACTGAGCAGAGCAAGTTCTCGTACGGTTCTCAGGAAGAGAACATGTTGCAGGAGGAGGAGAGCATTGGCAGCCGTCTTAAACCTGCGTTCCACTGGCGGGAGTCTGCCGCCAGACAGCTGACCTTCACAGCGTGAGGTTGCTCTGAGGTGCGCTCACCAAAGCAAATGGTCAGTGGTCCACCAGATGGTTTTAAAACCAATTCTGGTGGTTAGTTTTGCCATGGCAGTAGAACAGTTGGTCTTGTCCTAGATGTATGGGCACTTTTATTTTCCATGGATACTTTTACAGTTGCTGAATAGCTATGGACAAGTTACTAACTCTCTGAGAGTGTCTTTCTAATCCCTATATTGGAGCTATACCTACTTAGGTGCAAATTGAGCCCTTAAAAGTAGAGTGGATTCAGACTGTGGAGAACTTTAAATGTCATGATAAGGCTCTTGAACTTTATTCTGGAGGCATATTCATTTCTTAAGCAGAATGACTTCATGCATCATCTAGAAAGAACACAGTGGTACTACTGAGGCACTGGGGTACGCAGAGAAGGGGAAGGTTACAGGACAGGAGCCTAGGCAGGGACGGGTGAGGCGCCGCATCTCACCGGAGTCTTCAGCACCTTCAGTGCATCCTGGCCGAGCCCTCGGAGAGGCGGCTTGGCTTTGTGCTCAGGAGAGATGTTAGAGCTAACGCTAAAGGTTTAGGGTGCTGCAGGCATGGGTTTGGGTAAAGTTGCTCGTGGTGGACTGACGGTCATGAAGAGAGGAGAACCAAGCATAAAATTCTAAAAAAAACCAACATTTAAAGGACAGAAAGAAATAAAGACAGCAAAGGACTGAAAGCAAGCTGTTAAAATGATAACAGGATCAATTCGAAGTAGTGTTCTAGGAGCTGAGAGAGTTTTAAGGAGGGATAGGAGTTAAGAGCAGCCAAAGCTGAAGGCCAAAAGGAAGGTCTTGTAGCCCAAGGTCTCGTAGCCCAAAACCTGAGTCCTGTATTGGACGGTGGGGTCATTTGTGCAACATGAGTGTCAGGTCCGCAGGGGAGAGAACGGAACGTCAAGGAATGAAAGCAGCATGTCGACTGTGAAAACTTCTGATTGTGAATAAGGAGAGATGATAGCAGATGAGTGCGTGTATACGCTGAAGACGGGGCGGGCCACTTGGGAGGGGTAGTTCAGCATCATGGTCAAGAGCACAGGCTTTGGAATCAACCAGACTGCCTGGGATCCCATCTTAGCTTGACCACTTACCAACTGCTTCTTGAAGGCAAATCTCTTAACTGCTCTGCACCTCGCGTTCCTCATCTGTACATTGGAAACAAGAGTCAGCTCTTGGAGCCCCTGCTGTGAGCGAGGCAATCTGTTTGCCACGGGGCTGCTGGGATGTGTCCTTCTCCCCTGCACTCAGGAGCATTAAAACGTATTAGCAGAGACTGTGAAGCCAGTGAGCTCATTATGGTCAGCACAAGGCTGGACCTCCCTGGAGAGGGGCTGGTTTCAGTCCCCTCAGGGCAATGTGTTACGCCTGACCGGCAGCCTGGGTCTGGAGAGTTACTTTATGGCTAGAACAATAATGCAAAATGGCTCTTCTTGACCTCGTAGGTTAATCACGTCCGAACGAGAGACTTTGACTGCTGCCTCGTTGTGCCCCTCATCGCAGAATCCGGTAATAAGCTGGACCTGGTTATTAGCAGAAACCCACTGGCTTCACAGAAGTCTATAGAACAGACTCTGCCGGGAGAATGGAGTGAACAGAACAGTGCTTTTTTCCAACAGCCCAGCCATGGTAGTAATCTGGAGATCCGAGAACCCACTAACACCTTATAGCAATGCTTTTTATAAAGCAGGACAAAAGACAGTATCTACATGGTGCTAAAAAAAAAATCCCTTTAAGATTTCTGTGACATTTGAAGCACAGATAATCATGTGGCATTAACTGCAAGCACAGGGGTCTTTTAAATCTCTCACGGCTCATGTCCACTTCCCTTTTCCAGTAGAAGAGGTTACTTTTTCGGTGACCACAATGGTGTCTGGCAGACGGTTCCCTGCCAAGCCCAATGGCAGAGAAAAAAATAAATAGGTAGGCCACCCCTCCACAAGGAACATCGGAGGAACTTTTGTACAAGTTCATCTTCCTATCACTTTTTGAAAAAAAATGTCTGTTTAAAAATATTCTCTATGACAGTTTCCTTAATTCACTTTGAAATCAGTTTCTTACTATGAAGTCATTAATGTAAGAACTTGACCAACAAGGCTTTTCGTAAAGCTGGCTCTGCTGGAGGGACTAGGTGGGTAACTGCTGGGACTGGCTGCTGCTAGGGAAGGGGTACAGGGATAGAATTATCTTAAAATGTTTCAGCAAGGATGCACGCAGGAGATCCTAATAGGTGGTGGTAACTGTTTTGCCCAAGTATAGGAATGATTTTAACTAAGATGTATGCTATTATTCCCTATGCAACAAATTATCAAACAGGATATGTCTTGTGACCTGTTGCTTTTTTTTTTTTAAGGACACATTTCTAATAGCTGAAAACCTCTGATAATGAATTAGAGTGTTTAGTAACACTGAGAGTTAGTTATTTTTAAAATTCAGGACTAAGAATTTAAGAATTAAGTCTATTAAAAGGTTTATCTTAATGATAGGCAAATCAAACTCATCTTGCTCGACATGTTTTAAAAACTGGTTCTACTGAGGGGTGTACAGCACTTGCACTTGAACATGACACTGGACCGCGGTTAGTCCTGAGCCACGCCACTCCCGTAACTGTAAATACATTGTCCACAGAATGCGTTGCCAATGATCGCCATCCCTCAAAGCAATAAATTGTGACAGCTGCAGTTAATGTCTGTCAGCAACTGTTTTTCATCTGTCCAGATATTTTGAATAGTTACACTAATAACTGTTATTTGGTGAATATAAAAAATAGATCTGTATATTGACTATAGAACCTCCATATTGAAACAGTTATTTTCCAAACATTTCCATTTCAGTCAGGAACTCAACCAACCGCTTAGATGAAGCACTTGAACACTGTGTCCTTCGTTTAAGGAAAACGTTCACCTTTCTTTGTGTGCAAAGAAATATATTATTTCAATCACATTTCAGGATCGCCAGGGCAAGAAAGTATAAAGCAGAATCACGTTAAGAAAAAAAAGATCATGAGTCACTTAAATATGTATTTTTATTTGTAACAAACAAGTATTAAACTGTAAAGTATTTTTGTACAAATTTAATACTTTAATAGCATGGTATTTATCGTCTATGTATGGTTTGGGGGGATTCAAAATTGTTGCAAATATTTGTATGGAAAAAAAAAAGTCCTCTACCAAAATGGAATAAACAGTGATTTTAAAAAGCCAAAAAAATATGACATGCACTTTTTCGAAACTTTGAATGAATTTACATGCTCTAGAGACTGAGCCCTACACAATGTTAATTGCCACATAATTTTTTAAAGGGGGGAAGGTTTTGCCATAACCTTGCAAAGCAGCATGGAAGAGTGGGAAGAGCATAGGTTTCGAAAGCAGACCTGGGTTTGAATTCTAGCTCACTGGTGGTATGAGACTGACCGGGAGTCTGTTTCCCACCTGTAACACTGAAGGTCGCATCCGCACTCCAGGTCTGTTGTGAGGACAAGATGTGAAACATGTTAAAGTGCTGAAACAGCCTGCAGACAGGAACACACCCCAGACTAATGGCACATTTGTTTTAGGTGACACGTCTGCCCTCAGGGAACACCACGTGTATTCTAGGAACTAAGTTCACACAAACTGTGCACAGACTGCACCTGCGGTCCCAACACGTGTCTGCAGATGGCCTTGCAGACCCTGAAAACTCACAGGAATAACACTAGGATGCCCATCCTCACCACTTCTATGTAACAGTTTCTAGAGTTCTAGCCAGGGCAGTAAGGCAAGAAAAGGAAATAAATAGCACTCAGATATGAAAGGAAGAAGTAAAATGTTCTCTAGTTGAAGATAGAAAAATTTGCGAAAGTGAAAATTTGTGGATTTTGCAAATCCACAAAATGCAAAAACAAAATTTTGCAACTAGTGTTTCTAATAAAAGACTTCTTTGCAGAATATATGAACTCCTATCTCAATAATAAAAAGAAAAATAACCCAATTTATAAATTGGCAAAAGACCTGAATAGACATTTCTCCTAAGAGAAAGAACACGAATGGCGATAAGCACATGAAAAGAAAGCCCACATCATTACCACAGGCAAATACAAATGGAAGCCACAGTGAAATTTCATTTATACCCATTGTGTGGCTGTAATCAGAAGGTCAGACGACAGCAAGTGCCGAAGAAAATACGAGGAACGGGAACCCTCACACACTGCTGGCATAAATATAAAACGGTGCAGCTACTTGGAAAACAGCCTGTCAGGTCCTTGAAGCTTTAAACAGAGTCATAATGTGACCCAGCAACTCCACTCCCAGGTCTATCTCTACCTTAAAGAAATGAAAATAAATGTTCACACAAAAACTTACACGCAGAAGCTCACAGCAGCATCGGCTGTAATATCTAAAAAGTGGAAATACCCCACATGTCCATTAGCTGATGAATGGATAAATTCCATGTGCCATATCCTTGCAACAAAACATTATTTGGAAAGAAAAATAGATAAAGGCCCTTTGCTTCGAGGAACCACTGAAAGCAAGGTGGGCCACCTGCAAAAACTCAGCCGGGTTCCTGATCTTGTCACATCAGCTCAAACGCACACGGTCTGATATAGAAATACCACCTCAATCTATGCGGCCAGTTTTTCCGTCAGTACACAGAGGGCACCGGCTTCATCAAGGTGGACTGAGTGATCTTCCTTGAATGGATTATCCAAGACATCTACCCAGTAAAAGAAACAATGCTAGCTCTATTGCACGTGATTGCTTTTAATCTTTTTTTTTTTAAAGAGAGATGCACTAGTAGATACACGCTACAACATGGATGAAATCTGAAAATATCATGCTAAATCAAAGACGTCCTAATAAAGGGCATATTGCAGAGACAAAGATTACCAGTTGCCCAGGGCTAGAGGGGAGGAGGGTATTAGAGCTGAAAGGTGAAACAGTTCTTTGGGCGATCATATAAATATTTTCTAAAATTGATTGTGGTATTGGTATTACAACTATGAATACACTAAAAACTACTCAGCTGTGTAAATGGGTGAATTGTATGTGAATTCTCTCTCCATAGTGCTATTTTTAAAACATTGGAGTATCGGGTAAATCTTCCCTCTTAACTATTTTGTCTACCATTTAACAGTAAGTAAAACTTTAAAAAAATAGAAGTCACTCTGAGAAAAAACTTTTCCAAAATAGAGTATCTTCAAAGCACTGTGCACCCCCCCCCCGACAATCATGTGACGTGATGGAGGTGTTAACAAGCTAATGCGACAGTGGTAACATAATTCGAGATGTAAGTTTCATACTCCTGCAACTCAGACAATGTGACATGTCGATTACATCTCAAGTTCAGAAAACAGAAAATGCTGTGCTCCTGACTCAGGAGTCTCTGGGAAAAGCCCCAGATGAGGTAGAGCCTGGCAGTATCGAGGGAGCAGTGGCAGCCTCGGGGGCGATCCCTTCGCAGAAGACAATGACGCCCCAGCACTGGTGTCAGTAAGAGATGCAGTTAGTTTCTCACTGCCATAGCTTCACCCCTTTGGCGAAGATCACTCAGTGATCACGGAAGTTAATAAGGCATTACCCTAAAAATAAAACTTTATAAAGATATAAAGTACAGATATGACACTTTTCTCTCATTTATGTCCAGTGCTACCTGTTCTCATGACAGACATTGAAATCCGTAAGGTTTTCTTTGATCATATGAGTTTAAAACATCCATAATACAAACACCTTAAAATAAAACTCCAGTTACAGACATCCTCTTAGACCCTGATACTTTGAAGTTATGATGTTCGCTTATCATTGAATGAAAAAATAGACAATTATTTTGAATAATCGGAAGGAAAATTAAGTTTCTTGATTACTTGGGGGTTTGAAAAGTTGCCTGGGGGTCAAACTATTTAGTCTCAAGTTCTGAAGCTTGGAAGACACTTGTGGAGATGATTCTTCCACCTGTTAGGAAAACAATAAAAATGTGGTTAATTTTGTAACAATGTAGTCAGTCTACCCTGTAGACGTGACTGTTTGCTGAATGGGTATATAAATTGAATTCCCACAGTTGTGGACAGGGTCCACTACATAATTTGGTGACCCAGTACAAAATTAAAATGAAAGCCCTCTGTTCAGAAATTAAGAATTTCAAGACGGCTCCTGCAGAACAGTACAGCGAGTGTGGTCCGGTGAAAACACGGCTGGGCCACCAGCATCTTCTCGACACTAGCAGTGATTCCCATGCAAAGGCCAGTGGACCGGTGTGGTCATGGGGGAGTGCTACCCCCACAGGGAGATGAGAAACACAGGCACGACTCGGTGTTTCACAACGCAACATCTGTTCCACTTAGGTGACTGTGATGGTTACTTTTGTGTCCACTTGGCTAAGCCATGCTGCCCAGATATTTATTTGTCGAACACAGTTCTGGATGTTTCTGTGAAGGTACCCTTTAGAGGAGATTAACCTCTACTATAAATCAGTAGACTAGTAGTACTGCAGATTAACCCCCATAATGCAGGCGGGCCTCCCATTGACTGAAGACCTTAAAAAGAAGACCGACCTCACCCCAGGAAGGAGGAATTCTCCCCTGGATCCACCAACCTACCGGTCGATTTCAGACTTTCAGCCTCCACGAGGACAAGAGCCAATTCCTTCAAATAAACCCAGAGAGACAGATACAGACGGGCAGGCAGGCTGACAGACAGACAGACATATCCTACTGATTCTCTCTCTAGAGAACCCTGACTAATACAAGGACTCTCTTCAGGGATTATGTAATTATGTCTTTCCTAATTTTTTTATGTTAAAATGTCATTTTCCATAAAAAGTTCTGGAAATCACTGCTTTATGTGATCAATTTTAGAATGTTTACACATGTTTTTATTTAAAGGGAGATTTTTGTTTTCCCTCTTTTTTTGATGGGGGCAGGCCAGGGAAAGAGAAAAACCAGGCCAATATTTACTTTTGGAACACGTTTCCAAAGCCAAAGCTATGAACCCATGGAAAAGCAAAAGCTGCCATTTTGGACGAGACCAGCCTTAGTGTCTGTAGAACTTAAAAGCCAATTTGGCTTTCGTCAGTGTGAACATAAAAAAGGGGGGAACGTGGGCAGCCCTTGTCAATGAATTTCATCTTTTAAGAATGACACACCTCAAGGCACCTGAAAGTCTAGAATCATGAAAGCACAGAAGTTCTTCATGTGTCAGCCCTGAAGCTTTGAATTCTGGTCCTCATTTCTAGGGATTCTTGTAAATGCCACATACTTCCAGCAGACCTTGTAAGAAAGTGTATCCCCTTCAGTTAGAGAATTTGGCTCGTGCTGCTGCTGTTACACTGTGACATCGGTAGGCACTGGACACCCCCACAGTCACTCTGTGCTCACAGATCTGTGACGCTGGCCTCAGCCAGAGCGGGACAGTTGTGGCAGGCGCAGGCCTGAAGGTGGGTGGTGCTGCTTCCTCCAGACACTGCTGCATAACCCTAACCCCCAGCCCACGTTAATAGTAAGAAATGCAAAGCCAGAAACTTTTAGAAAGACTCTTTCTATGGAATTGCCTCACTTTTCTGTCAAAGCCTTATTTATCCCATGGTCTTTGTAAGAGTCAATACATTTAATTTCAGAAAAAGAAAATGCTTTGCTGAGACAAATTCATCACCCTAGAGCTGAGCCAGAGCACGGAATGAAGCGGCAGTGGTCCTTGCACTTCCGGGAAGAACGAACTTCTTCCCCACGATGTCCAGTTTTAGCACTTTTCCCACAAAACCTGTCCCCCGGCCTCTTTTCCCAAATCCGGATGAATGGTACCTGGACCCCCCTGGAAGCCCAAGCCAGAAGCCTGGGAATCATCTTCAGGTCCAACCCTACCTGTATAAGTGAGTGACAAGTGCGTGCCACCAACGACACCCCTTCGCCTCTCTTCTCCACCCCAAATGCTACTACCTGAGTTCAGAGCATAATCATTCGGAGTAAGCTACGAAAATAATCTCTTTGTTTTGGGAACTCACGGGCCCCCTCTCCGTGTCTGCCCAACCATCATCTGTTAAAGTCCTGCCAGCGTCGCCTTCATAAATTTCAATCCCCAGAGCTCTTTAAACGTTTCTAGTGCTCTCCACAGCTGCAGGAGCACGGTGTCTTCGAAGAGCTGCCGTCTCTTCCCTGGTTCCTCCGCCCAGCCCGCTTCGGGCCCGCTGTGCTCGGGCCACACTGTTCCCTGCTGGTGGCCTACTAACGTGCCAGCACTTCACACACTGTCGGCACATTCTCAGAGCTCTTCCTAACCATCTCACATCCATTTGGGGTCAGAATATACATTATTTCTCCCTTGAGGGCTGAACCCCGGGACAGGTAGGTTTTGTCCAACGGGCCCCCAGTGACCTGCACCATCTCATCTTTACTACACAGTCTGGGAAACCGAGGCTCACTGCAACAAGGCTGCTGTCGGCACGTAAAGCAACTCTTAAGCTTCTGGGGGACCTTTGGAAATAATTTATAATCCAACCTGTTTTTTCAAAAATCACAATGCTCAAGAAACTTAGTGAGGACCTCAACAACATAAAAAGGATCCAGTCAGAAACAAAGGATACACTCATTGAAATAAAGAACAATTTACAGAGAAACAGTAGAATGGATGAAGTCAAGGATCAAATTAATGATCTGGAACATAAGGAAGCAAAAAAAACAACCAATCAGAACAACAAAAAGGAAAGAGAATCCAAAAAATGAGGACAGTGTAAGCAGCCTCTGAGACAGCTTCAAGATGCCCAACATCCACATCATAGGGGTGCCAGAAGGAGAAAAGAGCAAGAAATTGGAAATCTCTTTGAAAAAATAACGAAGGAAAACTTCCCTAATTTGGTGAAGGAAATAGACATGCAAGTCCAGGAGGCACAGAGGGTCCCAAACAAGACAGATGCAAAGGGCCCAGTCCAAAATACATCATAATTAAAATGCTGAAGGTTAAAGATAAAGAGAAAAGCAGTTACCTACAAGGAAGTCCCCATAAGACTGTCGGATATATTCCCAAAAGAAACTTTGCAGGCTGGAAGCGATTGGTAAGAAATATTCAAAGTCATAAAAAAAAGGGACCCACAGCCAAGATTGCTCTACCCAGCACAGCTGTCACTTAGAATTGAAGGGCAGATAAAGAGCTTCCCAGACAAGACGAAACTACAGGAGCTCACCATCACCAAACCATTATTATATGAAATGTTAAAGGGGTTTATTTTAAAAGATCAAAAGGATGAATAAAATGGCAATAAATACATACCTGTCAACATGAGTCTAAAAAACAAACTAAGCAAGAAGAACAGAGACAGAATTATCGATACACAAAGCGTTTTGATGGTTTCCAAATGGGAGGGGGGTATGGAGAAATGGGTGAAGAGGTGAGGGAATTAAGAAGTACAAATGGGTAGTTACAGAATAGCCCTGGGGATGTAAAGTACAGCATAAGAAATGGAGTAGACAAAGAACTTACATGCATGGCCCATGGACAGGAACAATGGGGTAGGGACTGCCTGAGGGATTTGGGGGCTGCTGGGTAGAAGAGGGGCAAAGGGGGAAAAATCATGACAACTGTAATAGCGTAATCAATAAAATATAAGTTAAAAATAAAAATAGATTAAAATTTTAAAAATCACAAAATGATATTACCCAAGTTGGATAATCCAATTCATAAAACTATGAAACGAATGACTTTGGAGTATGTCTAAAAACCAAAATAGGTCTCAGTAGAAGTTCGCTTCCCTTATAAACATTCATATGCCTCTAAAAGTGATTTTCATAGGAATTCTCAAAGCAAGAAGGACACTACAAAATAAGTATGACTTTGAACCCAACATGTAAGGACAATAAGGGTCCAATTGTTTTTAAGGATGGAATGCCACGTATTCACAACTCATGATTTACTCACTGAGTATATTTGGTTACTATGTAATCAGCACGCGGTCCTCCCGAAGCTTTGTGCACAGAGTCAAACTGGATACAAGTGCTGCGTGGGGGAGTGACGTGTTCCTTCAAAGACAGGGAGGGTTTCATGAACAAAACAGAAACTCAGCTGGATTCTACTATGAAGACAGGTAAGATGGGAGGAGGTAATTAGCTGAGAACAGCTTCACCTTCCATCCCTAAACCCAGCAACACAGGGCACCTGCTCCCACCTGATTGTAGTGGAAGCAGAGCCCCTGCCCCCGCGTGTACCTAAAGGCAGCACCTTTACTTACACTCCTGGGTTTTCCCATCTCACTTGGGGGGGGGCTCCACCCACAGGTTCCCCTGTCCCCCATGGATGAGAATAAGTCTACCAAGACATGATCTGCTTGGGGAGGAAAGGTGGCCCATCTCTTAATGGAGAAGGGCCAGAAGCCTTTTCCTCAGTGGGCTTTTATTGGGTTCATCTGCATAGGAACACAGGGTGTATAGGTAAAGCTCATTGTAAATGATCAAGCAATAGATAACATTCGGAGAACTCTGAGGGCTTATTCTGAGTCAGGCTCAGACAGCTGCACTTTAGATGATACCACCCTCTGCTCACAGCTCTCCAAAGCATTCCCACTGCAAACAGCATGAAACCCCAGCCCCCCTGCCCCTCACAGCCCTGCTCTCTCTCCACCACCAACACCTACACACCCTCTCTTCCTCATTCCCTGGCCACACTGACCTGCCTCCCCCTTCCAATAAAGTCAGTCCCTTCCAGGCTTTGCATCGCTAGCTCCTCAGCCTGGGAGGCAGGTCCTCTGAGCCTCACCTGGCTGCTCATTGTTCAGCTGTGGGTCATCTCCTCAGGGAGGCCTTACCTGACCACCACATAGCACCTCCTGCCCACTCCCCCATCCCCACCATCCCCCACTTCACTACCTTTATTTTTGTCATAGGATCTATCTTGACCCGAACATTTATTTCTCTTGTATTTACTGCCTATGACCCCTTGGCAGATTGTAATGTCAAGAAAGCCAGACTGGTCTGTTTTCCTCCCTCTAGCATTTAGACCAGTGACAAGAGGATCTAAATTTTTTAAAATGCTAAATGAGGAGAGGCAGAAAGAATGAGGAATCCAAACCAAGTTGCATAATAAAAGCCAAAGGGAAAAAGGGAGAGTAAGTGTGGCTCATTTTAGTGAATGAAGAGACCAGTTTGACTGAAGCAGAAAAAGAAGAGGCAGAAATAAAACGATGCTGGGATCAAACTACGAAAGGTCTCAAATGCCAAGCTGGATAGTCTAAGTTTATGTTGTAAGCACGAGAGAGCCACTGAAGGCCTTTAAACACAGGAGCAAACAGAGCCCGTAAGGCAGGCTAATTTGGTGAGGACGTGCAGGGCAGCGCGAGGGGAAGGGAGCCGGGTGAGCAGTCATCCAGTCATCCAGTCATCCAGTCATCCGAGGAGATGAGGATCTAAAACTGCCCAGGCTAAACGGAATAAAAGAAATTCCTGATACATTTTGTGACAAATCTAGCAAGTAGAGGTGGAGGGTGAAAGTGAGGGAAGCCAAAGGTGACTCCAAAATTCTAAGCTTCTATAACTGGGTGAGTGTTGCCTGAAATGGAGAAATCAGGAAAAAAGAAAAGAAAAAACAGATATTGGGCTGTGGTTTCAGCAAGTCCATTTCTAGGATCAGAGATGCGGACTGGGGAGCTGGTTCATTATCTCCTCTCTAGTGCCCAGAACACTTAGTGAAGCACCAAGTTACTTGCGCATTCCTTCTGTCCCCTCCACGGGCCATCAGAGCAAGAGTGGGAACTGGCGCCTACTGCTGAATTCCCAGAGCAGAGCAGGCAACTGAAAACTACCAGTTGAACAAATCATCATTGCAAAGGTGACAGCTGAAACTTCGGGAAACAATCCTCAAAGAACAGAGGAATGGGTCCTCCAGGCAATGTCTCCAGTCAGAGAACGGGAAGATGGGGAGTGAAGACATGAGGGGAAATGAGGCCGGGAGGTGGGAGGGAGGGCGATAAGGTACTGGTGCAATCAAGGAAGGAAACGTTGAAGTGGTAGCAGCATTTAAAACTACTAGGAATGTCAGGGGAAAACGTCAAGAACAAGACATAAGGAAAGGCCTCTCAGGTTGACAAGAGGACTGGAACCAGCCACTTCTACCACTTGTACCAGTGGAGTTCTGGTGTAAGTGAGATTAGGGCCTAAAAATGGGCGGGGGGAGGGTGAGGCTGGTAAGAATGACGCGTAGACAGAAGGTTCCCCCTGACAAGCCCACCGACTGCGGCTGCCTGGAGTGCCAGCCTTGGCAGAGTGAGAAACAGAACCAGGACCAGCTGGGTGTGGCGGAGAGGAAAACACTGGTCTTTACATCCTGCAGCGCAAAGCAGCACTAATAGAAACACGCAGCACTTTCGTACAGATAAGCACACTGAAGCCAGCGATATTTAAATAAAGCTCCAGTCCACAAGAACGTCACCCCTACCATAAGAATTTTGTTTGGACTTTCATCTTCATTCATGACACAAGTTCTTTTGAACCCTCGAGATTTGGATGGATCTTCGTCTGTATCTGCTTCATCAGGGGAAGAAACTTTCCATCTTCCAGCAAAGGCAGGCATCTGGTCATCGGCCGCAGAGGCCTGGCTTCTGGGGACACCCTTTGTCCCAGCGTCAGCTGTGCCCATCGGGAGCGGCGACGCCGAGGGCTGTGTTCTGGAGCTCTGCGACGGAGACGCACCATCTGCTGGAGATGCACAGCTCATGGAGAGCTCATTTTGCAAAAACTGTTTCAAGCGGGTTTTCCTGCGGACACTCTTCTTCGAAATCGCGTTCCGCAGGTGAGACTCCTCCGCGATGACGTACACTCTGCTGCGGCCCCTGGTGACCGCGGTGTAGACGTGCTGCCAGTGCTGGCGGCCCGCCCGCCCGACCACGTAGACCACGGTCTGCTCCTCAGACCCCTGCGAGGGAAGAAGGCAGCGGGGAGAATTAAAACCGCCTCGTCCACAGAGGCGGACAAGGGGCAAGGCCTCCCTCGCACCCACTCCCTGGCCGGACCGCTCGTACTCATGGCGCCCATTTTCGTCACCATCTGAGAACTCATGCTCCAGTGTTTTCTAATTATGCGGCTGAGCTCAGGCCGCACAGATCCGCAACTGGCTTGCAAAACCCAAAGACAAACTGTAAAGTCTATGCGCAGTGCCAAGTAATAAAATAATTTAAAATGGTTGTGTGTGCTTTGTGGGTAAAGGTAGGATCCCACTGTTACTTCATATTATAAAAACAGACACCTGAAATATCCAATGACAGGAGAATATATATATTTGCATACATTTATATCAAGTATCCACATACAGATATTTGGTATACTATTTTGCAAACATCAAAGATGCTTTAAAAATAACAAAATTTTAAAAACTGGGTCTGTGTGTGTGCGTATCATAACTATGTAACACAAAATCACTCTGTTCCAAAAAGTACCTACAAAATAAACATAACTATATGACAAAACAAAATAAATCACAAAATAGAAGGCAATTATATCAAAATTATAACTAGACTGTCTCCAAAATGAAGGGCCCATGGATAATTTTTTTCCCCTTTACTTTTCTGTATTTTTCCATTATTAAACCAATTACTTTTTCAAGATAAGCAGAGGAGAACAATGGACCTTTGCTTTTTAAATTTAGCAAACCAAGAATTTTCTAGACAAGAAAAATGCCCAGAGTCACCACGTAACTGTGAGAAAAGTTTCGAGTTTGATAGCTGTCCTTGGTTGCTGTCTTTTCTGTGCCAACATAAACTGAGAAGTGGTTTTAACCATCCTCTGTCCTATGATTTCCACGTTAACCTGACGAAAGAACAACTGTGGGGAGACAAGTGACAAGACAGGTACTGAGAAAATACAGCCCCACAGTTAAAACAAGCAACAACCTTTCACACAGCAAGCATGTCTACCTCCCTAAACACAGAGGATCTGACCCAGCTCTTCAGGTGGTAAAAGGATGACAGACACTTCCTCCCAATACTGCTGAGTCTCAGAAACTGACTCACGTGATACTTGATTACAGGAATACGTTCAACAGAAACACGGCGCCATTTCTCCCTTGGACTTTACACTGCGTGTTCCTAAACAAGTACGCGTCTACCTAAACTTAGTTAACTGAATTCTTACTTATCGATTAAGTAACACTGAGAAAAATTCAATAACCTCATAATCAGTTTCCTTGTATTCACACTTGCTACAATCCACGGTCCTCATAGTAAACTACGGTGACATTTGTAAAGTGTAAATTCGATCACACCCGACTCTGCTTAAAGCCCCTTCATGGCTCCCAGGCTCTCACGGTCCTATCTTCTCACATGGCCCTGCAGGAGCCAGCCTCAGCCCGGCCCCCCCCCCCTTTCCTCCCCGTGAGCACAGCGAGCCTCCCTGTGGTCCAGCCAGTGCCCCCCAGGCCACAGCCCCCACCTGGCGGCTTCTAGGCCACGCCCCCGACCCGGTGTGCTCCAGCAGCCTACACTTCCTCCGTGACAGAATTTTTATCAGACCAGAATGTCACTTCCTGACTGTATTCCTCAATGGACTGTAAGCTCTGTGAAGGCAGGACCACATCTATTTTGTTCACTGCTTTTTATTCGGTGTCGTGCTGAATGAATGATGATCAAAAGTAAAACACCGTGCCAAAGGTATGCGTGGAAAGAAGGACACAGACTCCTGACTTCTCCTCAATGACCTGCTATAAACCGTGTATCCATTTCTTTAAATCTTCCTTCAATCGTTAACACTATCAAACTTCTTAAAGAGGCACATTTTATATATTTACTTCTTTTTAAAAATCCTCACCCAAAAGTATGTTTATTGATTTTAGAGTGAGGGGGAGGGAGAGAGAGAGAAACATCAATGTGAGAGAGAAACACAGACTGGTTGCCTCCCGCAGGCGCCCCGTGAGGGATCAAACCCGCAACCTTTTGGTGCACAGGACGGCGCTCCACCCAGCTGAGCCACCTGGTCGGGGCTGTACATTTACCGTTGATTGCCTGTATAACTACTCTCTAAATTTGTTCTAAAATTACAACTTGGGTGAACAAACACAAATGATTAATACCCTTCATGATTTTACAGATTAAGAATCTGAAAGTCCGTATGGACTTTAGAATAGAGTCCCAAAACTTTTTTCTATAAAGGGTCAACGAATAAAAGTTTAGGCTTCGCAGGCCAGGTGGTCTCTACAGCTACTACCCACCTCCTTCTGTGTGGTGCAAGGCAGTCATGGCCAGTATGTAAATGAATGTGACTGTACCAATAAAATTCATTTACAAAAACAGGTGATGAGCCGGATCTGACTACTGTACGAGAGAATAGTTAGTCCCACAAGACCCTAGGAGGTGACCTGGTCCCCTATCCTCTTGCCCTCCTGACCCCACATTACTTTTTTGACCTCCTCGACAGTCACTCCCACAGTGGCCTCCTTGCTGTTCCTGTTCTTCAAATATGCCAGACAGGATCCCACCTAAGAACCTTGACTTTGGCTCTTCCCTCTACCTAGAATGCTTTTCTCCCAGATACCCACATGGTTAACTTCTTTACCTCTTTCAAGTCCATGCCCAAAAGCCACCTTCCCAATGAGACCTATGCTGACCATCTATTTAAAATGACAACTGCACCCCGCCCCCACTTCTTTTCCCTAGCATTTACCACCTTCTAACATCACGTGTAGTTTACATATTTGTTTACAGTTGTGTGTGTCTCTATCCTCTTCTCCACCAAACGTGACCCTCACAGCGGCAGGTACCTTTGCTTCATGGGCTGACCTATACCAAGCACCCAGAACAGAGTTTGACTGAATAAATACTTGTTGAACTGAACTGAACTTGGAAGAAACAAACTATGCTGATATAAGATAATGATGAATGTCCTTGGAGGTAAAAGATGCTATTTCAGCCATGAAATAAGAACCAGATTTAGTAAAAGGAACACTTAGAGATATTTACTCCAGCCTCAACCCAGCAATCACAAAGACCCCTTCACTCTTCATTTGCCTGGATTATAATGAAAGACTGGATTATAATTTTGAGGGAATCTCTCAGAAAATATAGTGAAATGACAACATGATGGAAAACAAAAGAGGTAGATAAGAAATAGAGATAATCACTTCTGGAAGTTCAAACTAATAAAGGTTCTAGAAAGACAAAACAGAGAACACTCGGGACAAGAAGTCTTAATGAAATTATTCAAGAAAATTTCCCAGAACTGAATGATATGAGTTTTCATTCAGTTGAGGTTCCTATGAATTCATAATTCAGGTTCCTATGAATTATAGGAACCACAAGGGAAATTTCTCTAGGATCTCACAGCCAGAAATACCACACATCTTCACATCTTGCTGTATTTTTATCCATACAGACACAATTACCCCACTGTTTCTCTCTTCCTCTCGGAACGTAAAGCCAAACGTGCAGCCTGCCTACGCCAGCAAGCACACAGGCCGGTGCCTGTGGCCGGTGCCAACCCGCTCCTGGCAGGAACCCTGTACCACCCTTACCTTTATTTCCCACTTGGTATCATTTCTTTATCTGTTTAAAAACCATGTTAAATTGTGCACATTTTTGTAGCCGTTTCAAATGCTTTTTGGAACCGAGACAGTACAACACCATCCACTTAAACATTAAAAAACCTACACTAATTAATGTCCACCTACTAGTAGAGGACATAGGTCAACCTGCAAAATTTTTGTGCATGAAAATGGAGGTCGATGCAGCTTCTTCATTAAAACGACATTCCAACATCAGAGAGGGGAGCTCAAAAACAATGAGATACGTAACAGAGCCCCAAATAACTTATGATAATTCAAGAGTATTAAAATAGAGCTTAAAACTAAGTTGTGCTAAATGCACTGTAGTCCAAGATTAGATCCTCAAACAACAACAAAAAGGCACAGTGATAAAACTGCTGAAATCCAGATAAAGTATATAGTTTACTCAATAGCATTGTACCAAGAGCAACTTCTTTTTTGACACGTGCCAGAATGATGTAAGACACTGACATGAGGGAAAGCTGGGCGAAGGGTGTACGGAGCTCTGGGTGCCACCTCCCCGACTCTTCTGTCAACCTGAATTTACTCCCACATAAAAGGTGGTTGCCTCACAATGGTGGCAAAAGGGGATACATCTCTCAAAGCTCATGCAGCTTTATAATTAAAATATGTATGCAAATTATACCTCGATAATAGGTGATTAAATTAAAAAATAAGTGAGTCACAAAAACCTCCAGGCATCACAGTACCATTTGTGTAAACCTTGGTAACCTTGCTTCCCTGTGGACGGACAAATGCGGAGCGGAAGCCACTTCTGAGGAGGGTGGGAAGGCACCAGACCTGGGCGGGATAAGTGGGGCACTTGCTTAGGATGCAAAATTTAAGACGATGCCAAGAAACTCAGCCATCTAGATAAATAATATTTGAATAAAATAGTTTTCAAAGTCAAAATTTAAACCCCAAAAGATCCACGATGAACACAATATCAAAATTTTAAATAAAGACAAGAGCAATAACAGTGCCAAGCCCAGCAACACAGGAGACCGAAGGAAGAGACAAACTTTGTTCTGTGGTCCTGACGCTTCTCTCCCTGGTGGGAGGTGCAGCCCAAGGAATGAGGCTTTAACTGTGGTGTCTTAGTCCCTGAATAAAGAGGGCTCTAAAGTCAACAAGAGTAAAAGGTTGATGGCTGGGGATTTCCGCCAAGATGGAGGCGTAGGTGGAAACACTTTGCATCCTCACACAGCCAAATCTAAAAACAACAAAGTTTTAACAACAATAAACGCAACCAAACCACACAGAAAATCGAACAATACGAAGTCCAAAAACAACCAACCGCTCAGCTAAACCGGTGAGAGGGGCGAAGCCAGCAGCGGAGTGGGTCGAGCAAAAAAGATCCCCCGAGGAGGCGGTGCTCAGGCGGCTGAGGGCGCGGATCCCAGGTGCGGGCTAGCCACGGGCCAGCCACGGGCCGACACAGGGAAGAGGCGCGGCTGGCTGTCTGCGGTCAGTCGAGCATTTGCACGCAGATAAACCAGTGAAGAGGCGAGCATTGAGACAGATCGCACAAGGCCCCGGAGGCACAGAGTGGCAGGCTTGCTCATTTGCGCTCAGATAAACAGACGGGGGCGAGTGGTGAGGCGAACCAGGCGAGCGGAGAGGACCGCCATGGCTTCATCTCTGACCCCGCCCCCACATACAACGTCACAAACCAGCGACCAGGGTGGCCCCGCCCTGGTGAACAACTAAGGCGCCTCTCCTCATACGTAACAGGCACAAACTGATCAAAACCTGATCAAAACTGATCAAAACATGAGTTAAGAACAACTCAGAGCCCCAGAGCCAATAAATCTAAGCGATGAAGAAATAGCCGAACTTTCAGATGCACAGTTCAAAACACTAGTGATCGGGATGCTCACAGAACTGGTTGATTTTGGTTGTAAATTAGATGAAAAAATGAAGGCTACACTAAGTGAAATGAAGGAAAATGCACAGGGACCCAATAGTGATTGAAAGAAAACTGGGATTCAAATCAATGGAGTGGACCAGAAGGAAGAAAGAAACAACCAAACAGAAACGAATGAAGAAGCAAGAATTCAAAAAAATGAGGAACCTTGGGAACCTCCAGGACATCTTTAAACGCTTCAACATCCGAATTATAGTGGTATCAGAAGGGGAAGAGGAACAGTCACGAGTGGAAACCTTATTTGAACAAATAATAAAAGAGAACTTCCCCAATCTGGCAAAGGAAACAGACTTCCAGGAAATCCAGGAAGCTCAGAGAGTACCAAAGAAGTTGGACCCAAGAAGAAACACACCAAGGCACATCATCATTACATTAGCCAAGATTAAAATGAAGGAGAGAATCCTAGAAGCAGCAAGAGATAAGGGGACAGTCACCTACAAAGGAGTTCCCATCACACTGTCAGCTGATTTCTCAAAAGAGACCTTGCAGACAAGAAGGGGCTGGGAAGAACTATTCCAAGTCATGAAAACCAAAGACCTACAACCAAGATTGCTCTATCCAGCAAAGTTTTCATTTAGAATGGAAGGACAGATAAAGTGCTTCTCAGATAAGATCAAATTCAAGGAGTTCATCATCACCAAGTGTTTATTATATGAAATGTTAAAGGGACTTACCTAAGAAAAAGAAGATAAAAAAGATGAACAGTGAAAGGACAGCAAACTCACAGTTATTAACAACCACACCTAAAACAAAAGCAAACTAAGAGGACAGCTAGATCAGGAGTGAACCATAGAAATGAAGATCACATGGAGGATGAGCAACAGGGGAGTGGGAGAAGGAGAAGGGGGGAGAAGGTACAGAAAATAAGTAGCAAAGACAGTAGATAGAAAATAGATAGGGGGGAGGGTAAGAATAGTAGGGGAAATATAGAATCTAAAGAACTTGAGATGCCTGTTCATGAACTAAAGGGGGGATGGTGGGGGAGGGGTGTGCAGGGTGGAGGGGAATGGAGGAGGGTAATAGAACAACTGTAATGGCATAATCAATAAAATAAAAAATATACTTTAAAAAAAGGGTTGATGGCTGTACAGAATTTTCTGTACTTTGGTGCAGTGTGTTTCCTAATTTAAAATAAATAATAAAAGCAATAAAAATTAGGAAGAAAATAATACAAGGTACTCTATGGCGTGGCCAGCTATCTGAACAGCTTCACAAACCTCTAGGCTCACCTGAAAAGTGTGAATAGTTCTTGCCCATGCGTGTCTTATGCGACAATGTTTCATCAGTTTCCCAAAATCCACCGTTACTTCCAAGCCGGCCATATTATTAATGGTCAAAGATCTTTTCTTTCCAGCAGTTATGTCCATTTTATCCTGTCACCACAACAAAGAACTATTCTGTATGGTTTCAAAAATGCACACTGTGAAGACATCTACAGTTGCACTGAACATAAAATGGGAGTACCTTGTAAATAAAACACTGTATTTTTGGACTCTAAGACACACCACGCCCCCCTCAAATTTGGGAGGAATAATGGTTGTTAATGCTGCTATTGAGTTCTGCTTACATTTACATTGGTGAAGTATTGTGTTATTTATGATAGTAAATATTTTACACTTTTTGCTTCAAAAATTTTTTTCCTATGTTCCTCCTCTAAAACCTAGGTGCGTCTTATGGTCTGAAATATATGGTAGCATGCATATTCACTATAATTGTTCAGAATTTCAAAAGGCTGAAAATCTATGCTGAAGCACCAACCAAATATACATACACACAAACATTTTAATAAACATAAATGGAAGTTTTTGGTCCTTGAAACTTAACCAAATTTGACTATCTGGAAAACAGTTCATTGTTGCCTTTCTTATTTTGAAATCTATACATTTTATTTCTTGTACTGACAATGTAAGTCGGCATATAACTCTTTGCAAAAACTACCTCTCCTCGCTGCTTTTAAAGAATAAGCTTATAAATCTAAGAGGGTGTTTACACAATTAGAACAAATTCAAGGTGACCACTTGTACAGTTTCTATATGCATGCAGCCACCACGGAAATGATGCTTTGTAAAATATCATGTGCCCCTAGTTTCTTGTTCTTGTTACTCACACACTTCAAACTTCTTAAAAATGCTTTTTCACAAAGTCGTCTAGAAACTCATTTTATGAAGCCAGCACCACTCTGACGCCAAAATCAGACAAGACATCACTAGAGAAGTGCAGACACATACCCCTCACACACAGATGCAAAGTCCTGAGCAAAATATTACAGAAGATGAATGGCAGTTCTGCTGTGTCTGGATTCTGAATCATGCCTAGGGCAACTTTTAGAAAGGAAACCTCTCTCTAACAGGTGAAAAGGCACTCTCTGTTATCACTCACATTTGTTATGAAAAATATTTCTCCATTGCAGAGTCGAATACCACTCTCAATGTCGTGTTTATTTTTAGCAACATCACGAGGAGTCCAGTGAAAGTCCTCACCACTGGCCCCGAGTTCATTATTTTGCTGACTGTTGGAGGTATTTTCAGGCAGTAAATCCGAGAGATACGCATTCTTGGTACAACAGATTTTATCACCAACTCCAAATATAAGTCTCTTCTGATGGTCTCTGGGTCAAAAAGGGATAATAAATGATTAGGTTGTGAGAACCTTAATTTCATTTTGTTTAAGCAATAACTTCCACTCAGACCCAATCCAATGCTCAAAATAATTTCTACACTTTCTTTGCTCCATTTTTTGTTCTCCAAACTTCCACAAGAAATCAGGCTCCCACCGGTGTAATCCCCCACACTCAGCACCACCTCAAACTCAAGACCATGGCCTAGCCAAACTGTTTATTAGAAGTCTCAGCATATATGGTGACACCTCTTTCCCTCTACATTCTAAAAATTACCAAAAACCTTGATAATTTTTAGGAATCTACTGATTTCAAGCATCTACTGATTCTACCTTTTAAAGTTATCCTCTCCTCCCCAATCACTCCTATCACTACCCAATTTTGAGTCTTACAGCACTTACACATATTTCTATTATAATAATTATAACATATTAAAATAACAGCAAATTAAATAAATGCTGGCAATATACCAGTTGCTGCAATAAGCACAGAGGCATATTATTTCATTTCATCCTTAACTACAACTCTATGAGGAAATTCTGTAAAAGTATCCTCCTTTACATACATGGAAAGGTAAAATTACCTGCCCAAGTTCATAGGCACTGAGACCCAGATTGCATGGCCCCGATCTTGTGCTTTTTAACCCTGTGTTAGGCTACCTAACATCTGTGACTGTGTCTTCCCTTAACTAACATATCTCTGGGTTCTCTGCACTTAATAAATAGTAGGTGCTGATAAATGCTACAGATGTAAGTTAATCTACCCTATGTGTAAATAGAGAGCTTTTCTATACCCGTATTTCTCTGACTGATGTTCACTATGGTGTTCTCTGTGGGCATCCGGTTGCTCAGGTTCTTGGACACACTACACACAAATCGTAATTTGAAAATATTTCCGAATGCCCCACACTCATCTTGGACAAGCTGGAGTTTGCCAACCTGGAAACCACAACCCTATTTTTCTTACCAAAAATTCGATTCCTAAGAATATATATTATATTTAATTGACTAGATCATCTTCACCAATGAGAAAGAAATGACTTTTAAATATGCGGCTACAGTGATAAAAGTCAAAACAAACAAAAAACAGTGAATCAAGGAAGGACCGTCCCCAGAGTTTCAGTTCGCCAGCGCTCACTTGATCAGGTGGCCTGTGTAGTACTTGCCACAGCACACATTGATGACATCGCAGTCCTGCCTGAAACACGGAAAAATGCAAGGGTCATACAATGGTGACTGTTCAGTGTGTATTTCTGTTATCAACAACTAGGACATACTGGATTCTATACAAAGTCTCCAGGACTTTCTCCAGGAAGAAGTATTTTGTACATTTGATCTTAACATACATGTTTGTTCCACTCCGATTTCCTGTGAGTTTCCAAACGCACTATTCCAAATGCACTGTTTTGTACAAAGAGCCCTGTTTAGAAATTGCCCTCTGCATGTCTAACAAAGAAATACCTCAAAATAAGAGAGAACGTTAACAGTGATGAACTAGAAGAGACTCTTATTCAGACGGTATCAATATTAATAAGCAATAAGATTTAAAAGCTAGTTCAAAAAAATTAAAATATTGCAAATGCTTTACCTTCTAAATGCAATAAATTGTGATGTCTCTGCACACTGTAGGTCTTTTTCTTTAAGTAAAGTGCTCACAGCAGAATATAAATCTGACAATTCAAGAGAAAAAAATTAACATGGAAAAGCATCAAATTACAACACCGTTTCTGTGGAGAAACTTCTGCATCCCCACTGATGGGCGCAGAAAAACGCCTCATACAAGTTCACCCCGGGAACAGCAGCTGCATCCCCTACATCAGCCAGACAGACAAGAAAATGAAGACAAGAGTTCCAGATGCCCCGTCCTCAACAGAGTTCAGCCACAGGCAGGACAGCTTCTAATTTGTACTACAGTCACTGTAAATTCACTGAGGGCTTGTGAATGCAGAATTTAAACCATGAACAAGAGGCTAAAATACGTAACAGAATTACTAATGCAAGACGTCTTTCTGTTTTAAGTTCTGGTGACACTAGACGTAGTGAGTTATAATTGGAGAACTGCTCTGCCTATGTTATTTCATTTAATTTCATCTGCACAACACTCATGTGAGACATGAATTATTTAGTAGCTGCACACCAGTATAAAATAAAGTACTGAGATATTTATATAACAGCTGGAAGACAGTTACTCCCCAAACACGCGGCCCACTCCCACTCCAGTGGTCTTTCCCTCCCTCGGAACCCACAGGCCTCTCCAGGACTCAGGAGCTAAAAGGTTGACCCTGGCGCAGCAGGAACATCCGCCCCAGAGTGACTACACCCTGCCAGCCAGTAAATAGTTTGACTGTCACCACTACACCCTTGTTACGAATGTAAAACTGAGGCTTTTGGAAGCAAAAATAACTTTCCAAATGGAGTGGGGAGGCTGGACTCCTCTTCCAGAGCTCGGATCCCTAACGGTGCTGACAGCCACTCACAGCTCGTCCTTTCTCAGAGCACGGGAGTGGGCTTCCTCTCATCTCTCTCAGCAATTTACAAAACAGAAAACATGTCTCAGGAAAGAGAGGAGACATAAAAAGTGAGAACGTTCCAGGCTCGTGTGCCTTTCCCTCCCAGCAGGTGAACCATGGGAGAATGAAACAGCCCAGGCCCCGTGATGCCCTGTTTGGGGAAGGCTGAGCTGTTGCCAGCTGCGCACTTCATTTTTCAGATGAAGAGGGATTATCACTAAAAAATGGCCAATGCTCGGCTCGCCCCCAGGCAACCCCAGTCTTCCGGAACAGGAATTTCCAAAGGTTCCATAGAAGACTGTTTTCTTCCATGTGGACAGGGTCCCACTGTTCTGGTCCTTGATGTTTTCACTCTCTCGGCTCTGCGTCTCACTGGTAGTAGGTGCAGTACCTCAACATGGACCTTGGATTTCACCAATTCTATGAGTCACAATTTTCTCATGTTTTAACATCTCTAAAATGCTAACCCAGCTATGAAGCCTGTCTTTGTATTCCACAATACTGGGAATAATTTACTCAACAACTTAATTAATTATTAATGAAAACTACTATATGCCTCTCTAATGTATATTTATTCCATGTTCTTGAAGAAGAGACTAATTTTCCAGGTAAAATTTGTAATTAGGAAAGGAAAACAGCATCAGTTAATCTCTGCTACCATTCTGAAAGAGAAAAATTTTAAAGTATATTTGCATCAGTGTAAAGAACAGTGTCAGTAAGCACTTTCACAGGTCCTCCCCCAGGCAGCGGGGCCAGGCTTTGGTAGCTGGTGCTGAAAGAAAAACCCTTGGGTGCATCCTGGCTCTGGGACTGTGCCAGGGCAGCTGTCACTCACAGGCACAGAGGGAGAGAAAAATGAATAGAAATAAACAAACAAAATTTTAGGCAAATCTAAATGGAGTGGCAAAGAGGCCAAGTTCCTTAACCATCTAAGTCTCATTTTCTTCATCTGTACTGGCACCTACTATCAACTAAGCTGTGACAATGAATATCTATTCATTATTTACAACGTATTTAATTAAAAAATCACAAAACAGTATGCAGCCTATAATCTAATCCATGTAAAACACCAAGCCCCTTACTATGTATCTGACCTTTATAGTGTTGTCTTGAGAGGCAAAAGGAAGATTACAGGGAAATATTAATTTTTACTTCAAGCACTTCTGTATCATTTGACTTTTTTATGGAATATAAGTTATTTCTATAACCAAAAACACCAGAAGGCATTTATAGAAGATTATGTATTAAAGAGAAAAAGGGATGCTTATTCTCGGCTGGTCTGCCGAAGACCCCGAGTGCCAACCCTAGCCCCCCACGCAGCCCTGCTCTGTCTCCAACAAGATGAAAGAAACTACCTTGAACCAAGAGGAACTTGCCAAACTGCAGGCCAAGTGCGCAGTGGTGGGAAAGGCACTGCCCATACCAAGAAGAAGGTGGCTCACAGAACAGCTACAGCAGATGACAAAAACTTCAGTTCTACTTCAAGAAGTTAGGGGCAAACATATCTCTGGTGTTGAAGAGGTCAAGATGCTCACGGAACAAGAGTGATCCACTTTCACAACCCTGAAGTCCAGGCACCTCCGGCCGCAAACACGTTCACCATCACAGGCCAGGCCAAGGCAACGCAGCTGCCAGCAATGCTGCCCAGTGTCTTGAGTCAGCTTGCTGCAGACAGTCTGACTGCTTTAAGGGGACTCGCTGAAGCCCTGCCCAAACAATCTGTGGGTGGGAAAGCACCGCTTGCCACAAAAGAGACTGACGATGATGAAGTTCCAGATCTTGTGGAGAATTTTGATGAGACTTCCAAGAATGAAGCAAACCAAACTGAGTCAACTTCCAAAGAAGATAAACTTGAAGACATTACTGGGAGCTGCTATCACGTTATAACTGCTTTTTCAAAGTTTGTTTGTGGATCTGATAAAATATAGATCTCTCATATTTTTAAACCTATCCCCTTGGACACTGCAGCTCTTTTCAGTTTTTGCTTATACACCAATCATTCTCTGCAACTAATTAAGCTAAAGAAGCCTGAGAATAAAGTTTGAAACCAAGGCTTAAAAAAAAAAGGGGGGGGGGGGGGATATTGTAACATGTGGATGAATGCTGACCCAAGGGAACTGAGATTAGTGACATACAGAAAAAAGAAAGGCTTAAAGATAAAGTTCAATGATGTCACTAAATTTCACACACAGAGTGAAAGCAAAGTAGAAACGATATACCTTGAAAACCTGTGGCAACTAGGACTTCCAGTCAAGATGACAGCATGGGCAGACATGGTTCACCTCCTTGCACAACAACATCAAAATTACAACTAAAATATAAAACAGCCATCACTCAGAACTGACGAACATTGGGTTGAATGGAAGTCTGACAACTACAGAATTAAAGAAACCACATCGATCAGACTGGTAGGAGGGGGAGTGACACAGACAGGTTGGTCCCACACCCATGTGTAGTGGATCAAAAGTTTGGGAGGGAGATCTCAGGAGCAGAGTCCCAGCCCCACACCAGGACCCAGTGCCCAGGGTTCCAGTGCCAGGAAGATAAGTCCCCACACCTTCTGGCTACAAACCCAGCAGGGATTGAGTTGGTGGAAAAAACCCAACCACCTGGAGCCCCAAGCATTCCCATTAGAGCACAGGTGGCAAACACAAGGCTCGCGGGCCAAATCAGCCCTCCACCTTGTTTTATCCGGCCCGGCACCTTGTTTCTACCCAGCGGCAGTGCCAAGCTCTCGCTTAACTGTTAAGGAGTAGTTACATTTATACAGTCCCAAAATTACATTTGGCCCTTTGAAGGCAACTGCGAGGCTGATGTGCCCCCAGTGAAAATGAGTTTGCTATCCCTGCACTGGAGAACTTCCACATGAGCTTACTCAGACTCACTCTGGGCTCCAGCACCAGGGTAACAGTGTGGAGGGCACCAGTGGCACACAGGAAGGAAATGAAGTTTCTGGCATAAAGGCAAGAACTGAGGGATAGCTTCCTCCCAGACAGAAAAACGGGAAGAGCCATAGAGCTGGCAAGCAGGTATTATATCTGAAACTCCATCAACCTGGCTAACACTATTTGCCCTGCCCTGGTAATTCCCTGAGGCCATGTCCCACCCAACTTATAGCTGTTAACAGAAGATTTTCCATAAAACAAATTGCCTTAGCTCTTGCTTGACAACTTCCTAAATCCTTTCAAACAAGCAACAACTGGCCTCAGTGAGTCCCCAATCCCCATACCGCTTGCTAAGTGGCCCCAGGCTTGGCACTCTCAGTAGCCAGCCTTTTTCACAACTTGGCTTTGCCTGGGAATCTACAAGCCCAGCACAAGTAGCAGCCATCTCAGATTGCTTTATAGCTCAGGCAGGGTAGCCCAGGGGAAAAATACAGGTGGGGGCTGACCTTGGTCTGCACCACCCGGGAAACCCCAGGACCTGCACACGCAGTGGACAGCTAGTGACCATGTCAGAGCACCACCACCCTGCCCCTGCACAACTGATCGTCCACAGATGGCACAGGTTGGTGGTCAGTGGTCACAGCCAATCCTTGCCCCTAACTGGCCTAGGTAAACCCTTCCCATTGACATGCCAACAGCGACCAAGGCTCAACTATAAGAGGAGGGTTACTCAGGCCCCATGAAGAGAACACCTCAAGTACCCAGCTTGGGTGATAAGGGAGACTATGCCAAGAGACCCTACAGGACACCTAAGACGTTAGGCCACGCTACCAAGACAGGGAGTCAAAGCAGCTCTACGTAATACAGATACAAACACAAGGAGGCTGCCAAATGAAGAGACAAAGAAACGTGGCCCAAATGAAAAAACAGATCAAAACTTCAGAAAAAGAACTAAACAAAATGGAGATAAGCAATCTATCAGATGCAGAGTTCAAAACACTGGTTAAAAGGTTGCTCAAGGTATTTAGTGAGGACTTCAACAGCATAAAAAAGATTCAGTCAGAAATGAAGGATTCACTAATTGAAATCAAGAACAATTTACATGGAAAAAATAGTAGAGTGGATGAAGCTAAGAATCAAATTAATGATTTGGAACACAAAGAAGCAAAAAACAACTAATCAGAAGAACAAGAAGAAAAAAGATCCAAAAAGTGAGGATCGTATGAACAGCCTCTGGGAAAACTCAAAGAGGTCCAACATTCTCATCTTAGGGGTACCAGAAGGAGAAGAGAAGGAGCAAGAAATTGGAAATCTACTTGAAAAAATAATGAAAGACAACTTCCCTAATTTGGTGAAGGAAATGGACTCGCCAAGTCCAGGAAGCACAGAGTCCCATATAAGCTGGATGCAAAGAGGCCCAGTCCAAGACACATCATAATTAAAATGCCAAAGGTTAAAGATAAAGAGAGAACCTTTAAAGCAGCAAGAGAAAAGCAGTTAGTTACATATGGGGGAGTTCCCATAAAACTGTCGGCTGATTTCTCAAAAGAAACTTTGCATGCTAGAAGGGACTGATAAGAAATATTCAAAGTCATAAAAAGCAGGGACCTACAGCCAAGATTGCTCTAACCAGCAAAAGCTATCATTTAGAATAAAGGGCAAATAAAGAATTTCCCAGACAGAAAAAAAAACTGGAGTTCATCATCACCAAACCATTATTATATGAAATGTTAAAGGGACTTAAATTTAAGAAAAAGATCAAAATTATGAACAATAAAATGGCAATACACACCCGTCAACAACTGATTCTAAAAAACAAGCTAAGCAAACAAGAAGAACAGAAACCGAAACATGGGTACAGAGAGTGTTTGATGGTTTCCGGATGGGAGGGGGGAGAGGGAAAATGGGTGGAGGTGAGGGGATTAAAGTACAATTTGGAAATTACAGAATAGCCATGAGGATGTAAAGTACAGTAAGGAAGTGGAGTGACCAAAGAACTTATACGCAAGACTTGCAGACATGAACAATGGTGGAGAGACTGCCTGAGGGATGGGGGACGTGGTCGGGTTTGCTGGGTAGAGGGGAGTAAAAGGGGAAAAAGTAGGACTACTGTAATAGCAAAATCAATAAAATACAATAGAAATTATAGAAAAAAAAGAACTGTGGCAACTGCAATGAATTCTCAGTAACAATCATTCAAATTTCCACTAATTCCATTCTGAGTAAACCATTACACTATTTTTAAATGCTTGCTAAGTACACTTATAATAAAAATCAAAAGGTTCAATCTATTTAGGCTCATTTGCAATAGATAATTTAATATCTATTATTTGTCAAAAACTAACATTTATATAATTCCTCAAAACTGACGAATGCCCTTAACCCTCACAACAGCTCCAGAGGCGCTGCCCCGTGACCCCCCCTTCTACAGATGGTTGAGTGATGGGACCTGGACTGGACACATAAGGGGGAAGACTTCCTGTCCCATGCTGTTTCCCAACCCTGCCATGGTGTCACCCTAACACCCTTAGTTAGAAATGACGCCTGTCCACTTAATAAGAAATAGGACGGAAATATTAGGGCTCAACTGAGCAACAGGTGACAGCCATTAATTTTCTTTCACAAATATATTCAAAATAGCACATGCATTTACTTTTTCCAACTTCTATGAAAGAAAACCTTCATTATGACATGCATTCCCCTAAATGAACTGGGATTACTAGAGCTTTGCTTTATTTTACACTAATCATCTCTGTTAATTTATTCGCTCTATGAATATTTATTGAGCCTTTAGTATGCATGTGACAAGAGCTTAATTTTTACAAAATTAGAGAGTAATGTGCTTGTGATGATTAATAAATTATTTTCAGTGCCTAATTTTTCACTAGCAATACATATCTCTACCATCAAATAAAAGTATAAACAGTCATTTAATAACTATATTACAAAACTGAAATACTTAACCCTATATAACACAGAAGTTTATACTTACGAGATTGATGATTATTATTTGACAACTGAGAACTAGCATCCTCTTCTGGGAGTCTCACAAAAATAAATGTTTTATCTTGTACTGAGACAGGGAATGTTGGGTCATCAGAGATATTCAGCTCTGCATCGAATTTTGGAAATTGGCGTTTTGAGATTCTTAAAAAAGATAAAATCAGACACCAAGAACCTTAATATCCAAAAATGTGTCTTCATAATATGATCAAAGATAATATCATTACAATAATTAATATCTGTTATTAGATAAACAGGGCAAACAGGCCACCCATATACACATAAGTAGAAACTGAGTTTTAAAACAGAATTAGCAAATTAAAAGCATTAGAAAAAACTGTCAGAGAATTTAGCAAGCACCATTGTGAAAACCTGACCTACTTTTCTCCAAGTGACAAAAGAGCTATACAAGGTAATAACCTCATTTCACAAGTGAGCAACATGAGACTTAGTCAACTGCAGTGGGTTGCCCAAGGCCACAGAGGTAGGAAGCAGGGGAACTAGGCATCAATCTGGGCCCATTTGGCTCCAGATCCTTTTCTATTTAAATTAGTTTGGACTCTCTGGAGCCCTATCCATATGTTTGTTTACTCTTCCTTTTCCCCCTCTGTTCTGTGTATATCATACATATGGCCTCATTTTCCCAGTTGAACCAATGCCCACATCTTTCCATTGCTTCTGTTTCTTCCGCATCCTTAATTAGTTCTCGTATTTCCCAAGATTAACAAATTATATCAGAAAACAGAGTAAGGGGAAGGTGCCTTGACATAATAGAGTCTCCCCTGGTTATTTGGAAGATGACTGATGTTGAAACCAGAAAAATAGAGAATAAATTAGGGACTGCCTTAAAGAGATTTGGCCTGGAGGCAGAAACCACAAGGAAATTAAGAAAGAACATAGGGAGTGGAGAGAAGGCGGAACTACAAAACCAATGGGGCTGAACAAGTAGAGGACCACCTGTTCAAGTGTCTAGATTAAAATTTCTCCATTACTCAAAACCCAGAAAGCTTAGGTCATGCTTGCGCCACCCGAGTAGCCAGTAGCTAACAGCCACATTTGCTTCTATACAATGCTTGCTTGCTCGCGTCTATAAAAAGACATAGCTGTAAGCGCTTAGGGCGGCTCTTGTTTGCAGCTCTTATGAGCATGTCTCCGGACACTCTGAGGGTCCGCCCCTGCGCAGGTTAAAACTTTGGCCAATAAAATAACATCGCTGAATCCTAAAAGTTTCTGACAATTTGTCTCTCGCGTTGGTGGATGAAACAACTGACTCCCCGGAGACCAAATAGTAGCCTGGATATCAAAGGTAGTTGTTCCCTCCCCTGCGTCTGCAACCCTTCCCGGTGCAGGTGAAAGGCAGGAAAGGAGAGGGAAGGCTGTCCCTGCTGGAAATATCCCCGATTGTATTTCTTTGCGAATCACCACAAATTGCCTATTTCTGACCCGGGACATGTAACATATTTCCATCTCATATTTTCCCTGGTATCACTGGGATCCTTCTTGTCATTGAATATTTGGTGATGGTGATTAAGAAGAAATGATGGAAGGAGCACAGCTCAGCCCAAATGGTATCGAAAAGGTTACTAAAAGGCATTCCTAAATTTCAGATAAAACTGAGCTGTAAGAACTCTTTAGATTGAAGAGTGCTTTAGATTCTCCGAAGACTTTTAGACTTGAAAATGACCAAACATCTACCAACATCTCCAAAATCAGCAGAAGTGTTACAGGAAAAGAACATTATACATCCAGATGCATTCTTTCTCTCCATGTTTTAATATAAACCTATGTCATCTACCCTATTGCTATCAATTCTTTCTCCAGCACCCCTGTCCTATCCAGGGTAGACAAGGACATAGAGAAAACAAGTTTTAATGTTCTAGTTTCTGCCAATATCCAACCAAGGAAATGTTCAAGCAACAAAAATATCTTGTAAAATTGAGAGTCAAACACAAAGATAAATTTTGTTCAATGAATAAAACAGTCTCTTAGCACTCTCAGATCCCATGGCATCTATTACAGAAGAGACCACTCTGAAGACTCGGGCAAAGGCTAAGGGAGAAGTGCTCTTCAGTATTTAAAGGAGACTAATGTGTCATGGATGCCACCAAAATTCATCAAGAAGGAAAATGTCATACTCATTTATTTTGCTTTGGGCTCTCTTACAAAAATTATAGGTAATCTTTTCCCTCAATTCTCCTTTGAACTCTACTGAACTCGTTTCTAAGTCTCTGTCCCCCTTGGGCTTATTTTAGTCTCTATGCCTGGTGCAACTTTAATTCACACGTACACTTTTTAAATCAGGAAAACATATTTATTCTTAAATGCATTACCGGGACAGTAATAAAAGATACTAACTTCAGTTTTTTAATTGTAGAACAAAATGTGTGTGTGTATATGTATCTAAAGGATGGAAGAGGTTTGTTAAAAGGGCATAGTAAATGTTCCGCACTCAATCACCCTGACTCAAAAACTGATATGTATTTTTAAACTTTTATTTCTAATACAGAGAGAAAGTACACAATTTTATATTTTTACCTTGTAGCATTGTCCACAATTAGCTCAGATTCTGCTCTGTGGTTGGTCTTTAGTTCAATAGCACACTTTCTTGACTTAAGAGTGTCGAAAAGATCTTGCAGCAAGTTACCGGGTTCAATGCTGGGTAACTGTCTAATATCACCTGAAAGGGGGAAAAATAGATACTGCAGGTTTTAGGTAACTGGAGTCCTAAAATTTAGGAATTATTTTTATTTCTTCCTACTGATATATGCTATAATTATAAAAACTTACTTACTCTAAGGAAAAAAAGGCCCCAAAAATCTTTGTTTAAAATGACTTGAGAACATTGTCTTTAAAAATATTGAACAAAAAGTACCATTCAGCCCTGGCTGGTGTGGCTCAGTGGACTGAGCACCAGACTGTGAAGCAAAGGGCCAGTAGTTCGATTCCCAGTCAGGGCACATGCCTGCGTTGCGGGCCAGGTCCCTAGTAAGGGGGTGTGTGACAGGCAACCACATATTGAAGTTTCTCTCCCCACATATTGAAGGGAAAGAAAGCCAGAATCAATTAATTATAAAATATTCTCAAATATCTTAAGATGTTACAATTTGATTCTCACACTACAATTCTATTTTCTTTCCTCCATGAAATCAGATAGTCTACAGAATAGTATACCCAACAGAATCTAACTGAATCTCACAAGAATTGAAAAAGACTTGAGACCAGTGAGGCCTAATTTGAGTTATTAGCTCAAAATCATAAAAATACTTTAAAGAGGTTTCTAATTCAGATATTTTATTACTTCCAAATTAATCTGTATCTTGATTTACTCTGAATCTGTGACACTTTTACCATTTTGATTGTCCTCACTTAGGTGGTCAGCAGTCACCCCTAGGGACCACTCGGTTCACACCCAGCCTGCCAGCGTCCCGGTGGAAACAAAGAACCACCGGAACTGCCCAAGAGAGTGGTTAAATTGAACTCAGGGTGGTCTTAGCTCGGGCTCTGACAAATGACTTCCCACCTGTAAAACGTGGGTATTAAGTAGTGAAATTGAATAAACAGTCACTTAACCACAATGCTTTGAACGTAACAATTAGAATTCCAACAATATTTTAGCTTACCGAGAATAATAAGCTTAGAAAGGTCGGAGTGCTCAAGCAATAAATTTAAAACGGATTTGAAGATTCCCACAGATACCAAACTCCCTTCATCCACAACTAGAACTCTCACGGAAGAAAATTTCCAGGGACTGCTCATGTTCATTTTTTTCTTCCATGTATAGAAGCTATAATTGACCTGTAAGTAAAGTATTGCATTTCTAAGTTCAGGTTATAAAATTTACCAAAAAAAAAAACCCAAACAAACCATTTACAACATGTTATTTTAAAACAACTCTTAAATTGGAGAAAGGGAGTATAAAGTAGAGTGGGGGAAGGGCTAAAGAAAGAGAACACAAATGTTAGAGAGGAATATACAGAAAAGATCAATACATCCAAAAAAATCAAATATTAAAAAGCACTTTCTAATGACTGCTTAGTGTGTTTAACAAGCTTTGCAAATATCACTATTTAACAGCAAAAATTTCAGCCCCTCCCTTACTACTTTTGACCAGAGACGGTTCCTAGTCTTCTCCATTCCCAAGTAAACTTTGTCCTTCTGAACTATCGCCCGACCACTTAAGCCTCCCTCGTTTCCCAACTATAATTCTCCACCCTGGAACTGAAGTGTGCTGCCTGCCCATCCTGACTATGAAAGTATTATCTTTTTCTTCTAATAGTCTAAACTCCCTAACTTCCCAGTATTTAAAAAACCTACCACCAACATCAACAATTCAAAAAGAATATATTACATAAGTAATATTTCCTATTTTAAAAACATAGATGAGGGCCCTGGCTGGTGTGCCTCAGTGGATTGAGCGCTGTGCCCGCCTGCACACTCAAGGGTGGCCAGTTGGATTCCAGTCTGGGCACATGCCTGGGTTGTGGGCCAGCTCCCCAGGGGGCCTGGGTTACATGCAAGAGGCAACCATACATTGATGTTTCTCTCCCTCTTATTCTCCTTCCTTTCCCCTCTCTCTAGAAACAAATAAATAAAATCTTTCAAAAATGTGTAAAATTACAGCCAGATCATGTTAAATATTTACATCTCTATCATTCCAGAAATATGTCTTTATTATAAATAGGCATATATGTATATTTTTTCAATGGTAACATATCTTTTTCAATTTTATTTTTCAATTACAGTTTACATTCAATATTATTTTGTATCAGTTTCAGGTACACAGCATAGTGATTAGACAATCACGTACTTTACAAAGTGATCGTCCCAATATTTCAAGTACCCATCTGGCACCGTACACAGTTCTTACACTATTATTGACTACATTCCCGATGCTATATTTTACATTCCTGTGACTATGTTGTGACTACCAATTTATTTAAGTTTTCTACCGTGACTAGATTTAACACGTTTATGAAGTAAAAGCATTCATATTTCCCACCCAAATGTATCAATTCCCTTGGAAAAAATAAAAAACCTGTCTCACAACAGAATACCTGAATCACTGCTAAGTGTTTCCTTTCTTTTATTTTACATGTTGTATTAGTTAGAATGACTAGTTGACAATTTCCCTGGTATCTCTAGGGCCACCAACTCAACACGGGCTGCATCTACAAGCAACTAGGTTCCTCTACTAACCTACAGCCGTGTCCCCAACACGCCAACACAAGACGGGACTGCCAGACAAAACACAGGCCACCCTACTGAAGTTGAACTTCAGATAAATAACACATGGCTTTTAGTTAAGTGTGTTCAGTGCAATGTTTGGTGGTTATTTATACTTCGAGATTATTTGTATTTTTGGGTGCTAAGTCTGGTGACCCTAGCCCAAGGACGGTACTCAGCGGCACAAGTGCCAGCCCTGCCCTTACTCTCTCCTGAGCCTAAAGGTGACTTCAGAAATGTTCTCCCGGCGTCCCGAGCAGATGTTTAGACACTACCAGTTGAGCAGAGGTGGAACATAAGATGAAGTTCAGTAATGAGCCCTCTCTGGCCTTTCCTAATCCAACCCTTCCCACTAATCAGATGTGAAAGTGTAATAGAGAAAAATCATAAACTGATCAGAAGGCCATTCCACAATGATCTGCACTGAACTGCTACAGGTCTGTGCTCACTCATGTGGCAAATTAAGGTAATGAGCAAAGTCATTTCTGAGGTGGCGTGTGGCTCTGTAATTCTGCGTAATCTTCCTTAAAGCTGCTTTCATTTCACTCCCTTGCTCAGTAACCTAAATGGCTCCCCTGTAAACCAAGACCAATCAAGCTTCTTTGTGAAGTTTCAAGGTCTGTAATATATGAGAAAAATATGTCACCATGGAAAGAACAAGCTGGAAAGTCAGAAACCAAAATTCAAGTGCTAGTTCTGCACCTGGGGAAGATCTTGAGCGAATCTTGTAACACCCCTGAAGTTCAATAGGCAGTTCTGTTAAACGGAGGTAGCACCATTGACCCCTCACTGGTTTATCAAGGATTTAATGAGATGTCAAAATAGTTTACAAAGTTTAAAGCTTAAATATCCTGTCTAAACCAAATTTAATTTCCATTATTTTGCAATACACAGACTTCATTCCAATCAATGCAGTCACTTCAAAACCTCTATGCACATTACACCTTTGGAATGGTCTTCCCTCTACATATTATTTCCTTCAGACATCTTCCAATGATGAAGTTCCCTGATCTGCAGAATGGAGGTCGGGGCTGGGGGAACCTCTACCATGCTTCACAAGTTTAAAACTTCATGACTCTTAATTACAGCCCCAACTATTTTTTTCATGCATATTAATTCACTTGAAAATTGTATTATGTGCTACTATTTGCCAGGTACTGCTGGAGATGAAAGTGAAAAACTAAACCAGATGATCAAAGTTCTCACTTGCATGGAGCTTTAACTCTACAAAATACAAACCTTTTCTTCCCAACTCCAGTGCTTTTCAAAACAGGGTCTGAGAACTACGACACGCACGGAACCAGCCCAGATGAGAACAGAGCTTGTGCCGGCATTTAACAAGACTACACCATTGGGCATACACTTGAGTTCGGCTGCCTATTCTTCCATAAGACTTTCTCCAGGGAAGAAGCAGTACACTGCTAACTTCCTGGCACTAGCTCCTACCTCACTGCCAACCAGCAACCATGTACAGATGGGTTGTTTTGAGAGGCACCAATCGTTAATGATTCGCTACTACAAGGCAGGGATCCAAAGGACTTTCCATAAATACCTACTGACTGCTGTCAAGAAGAAATGAAAAATAATTAAGTAAAGTTTGTCTTTAAGGCAAATATTTTTCTCTTGAGGAAGCAAATGTAAAAGGCTTTACCTGACACAGTGTGTACGCACTAAAACCAGTCTTTTCTCTCAGCAGACCAGCTGCTTTCCCTGTAGGTGCAGTAAGCAAAACTTCGATAGCTTTGTCTGACTTCGGTAGACTCAGCTGGCTGAACGTAGTCCACTCTGCCGGGACATCCTGGTCTTGTTCAAAGTCCTCACAAGCTTTTTTTACTTCGCTTTCTTCCAAGAGCTCTACATGCTTAAAAAGACGGCTCACAATTGTGGTCTTCCCAGAACCGCCCTTCCCACTTATGACTGTCACGGCATTGGAGCAGATCATTTCCAGAGCAGTCACCTGATCCTGGTCCAGTTGCCCTTGACTTATTTCTGCATTCTCTTCATTTCCACCATTATCCCAGATACCGTCACCACTGCTCTGTGGGTTCAGAATGCCCTCCCAAGTTTCTAATCTTATTTCATCAGGTTTATTTTCGTTCAATGCATCATCACCTCTTGAATCCTCAGGTTTTTTGGTATGAAGAGACGCAAGCACCTTTTTGACATCGACGTGCAAACGCCAAGGAGGCCTCGTCATCAGGTCACCTATTAAAGAGGCAATGTCTCTCTCAGCCCGGTAAAGGTCATAAGGAAAGATACAGGTCTTCTTATTCGTCACCACACCGATATCCTTCAGAAACTGCAGAGACTGCCAAACATCATGAAAAGACATGCAGTTCGACAACTGGGAAGTCAAGTCAGCTTCTTCTACATATGTGTGCCCATGCTCTCTACATATCTGCTTCAGTTTAGAATATATTATCAATCCATTCTTCTCTAGATCAGTCATCAACTGGAGAAGGGACTCGCACTGACAAAACGCTGTCCAACTTGCCTCACATCGCAAAAGCTTCAATTCTCTGTAGGTTATCTTTAAGAAAACAAAGGTCAAGCGGCTTTATAAAAACCTTCAATGTTAATGAGTATTATTAAAATTACAGTAAAAACGATGTTAGTTATTAATGATTTTTTAAGTCCTAGAAGACATGGACTCGTATTGCAATCAAATCCTATAAAATATATCTGTATATTGTATTGTGTGTTCACCTGCTGAAGTCAAGTCTCCTTATCACCCCCTTTACTTTCACTACCTCCCCCACCCTCCGTATTAATCCCCACTATGGAAAGTCTTTATAGAAGGTCTCTCTCTGTGATACCATCACTTCCACATATGCTTCTCCCCTTCCCATCTTTAAAAAAAGTTACAGTACACATTGGGTTCACCGATTTTCACTAAATCAGTATAAACAGGATTCAGATAAGCAACACAATCTACCATAATTACATGAACTGTATGTTAAACTGTGTGTGTGTTGTGACTGCCTCATTTTTTTGGCTTCTTTAGCTGTCTATGCGTGCAATAATTCTGCCCAAATGCTAGCAGTCATCCACCAGCTCCATTTTTTTTCCATGGAGACATCCTTCTTGGAGTCCTCCACACATATTTATATAGGTTGAATTGTGTCCCCCTGCCCCGGAACCCCCGTAATTTTGTATATTGAAATCTTAACCCCTAGAACCTCACAATGTGACCATATTTGGAGACAGGGTCTTTAAAGAGGTAATTAAGTTAAAATGAGGTCACTGGGGTGGGCCCTAATCTGATATGACTTATGAGAAGGTTAGAAGCCGGCCAACAGAGACAGAGAGATGGGCACGTGAAAACACAGCAAGAAGCCTATAAGCCAAGGAGAGAGAGGCCTCTGAAAAACCCAGCCTTGCTGACACCTTGATTTTTGGACTTGCAGCCTCCAGAACTGTAATAAAATAAATTTCTGTTATATAAGCTACCCAGTCTGTATTAATTACAGCGGTCCTAGTGAATTAATATAATACCTCAGTAACAGTCTTTATTTTGGATGGTGAACAATGGAACCTCAAGCCCCCTTTTCCCACTTGTGTTCCAGAATGCTCACTGCTCTCTCTTCTCCACTGAATAATTATATATATAAATAATCCAATGTTCCAGCAACTTATTTTTCAAAGAAAATAGAAATCATAGTCATTTGATGTAGGGAACAAATTTATTATTATAGTATTTCTCAAACTAGGTGGGGAGCAGTGTCTGTAAACATTTTGGAAGATACAAAAATTACGTTAGAATTTTTTAATTGTATTTTCATTTGGAAAACTGCCCAATGAAATTGAATGACATGTTTAAGTGCCACATTTAGTTTCCAATGCCATTGGAACCTCACAGTGTCACTTTACTTGGTCTACAGTGACAGAAGTGGAGATGTTCGTAAATGATATTATCATACCAAATTAAAAAATCAAATGATATCATGCTATACCACATGAACAGGGAAAGTTTTCAAAAGTCCCAACAGGAAAGTGGGGGACTGAGTTGCAGAGCAGAATGAATTTGCCAAATTCATAAGAACATGTCTTCAATGAGATCTATGCTCAAGTGGCAAATGGCAATTAAGTTACCAAAAACTTTTGTCATATTATATAACTAAGTTACTAATAATCTGAATGACACTTATTTCGTTATTTAGTCTTCCTTTATAAACTTACTGCATAACACCTAGAGGCATAAAAATTTATATTTAGTTGTAACACTCAAAGAAAAATTGATCAACACTGAGGTGCGCACAAATTTTTTCCTCGAAAAGAGATGCAGAAATTGTGAGGTTTGAGAAATCTTGCCTTATATAATAAGATCACCAAATGCTAAGCAAATGTTCTACTTACTTTACCAAATCCGAGTTTCCATGGATGCGTACCTAAAATCTCTTCTATCTTTCCCAACACATCTTCAGAATCTGAGCTTACAAGCTGTTTAAAGTGTCGAGGCAGAAGAACCGGAAGGAATTCCATTGTCTTCGGAAACTGCAATGCTGTCATTACACTTACAAATGGAACTGCAGGGTATCAGAAAAGAACAAATGCAAACATACCAATGAGCTAGGAGGATAACTGGTTTGGTGGATTTTCTCATTTACTACAACCAGTTCGAGATATCCAAATCAAAGATAAATTAACAAGTTTACTTTAACTAGCAAGGAAATTGGCATTGCAACGATTTCTTTAGTACTGAGACGGTTTTCATTGTATTTAACACCAAAATTTATGTGTTTTAAATGCCTAGGTAACCACTTCTTAGCCTTTGCTTCATTTTGCTTGCAAATAATAAGAATAAAATTCTTGATTCAATGATACAAAGATAAATTCAAAATTAAACATAAAAACAATGTACACAATAACCTTTTAATCACTTTTTTACTGTAATCATGATCCTTTCACCATTAAAGTCATCTGATGATGTCCTGCCAGATTTATTTGAAATAACTAACAACTGAAATACTCCATATATATGAATGTCCAAATCACAAACCATATTAAAAACTATTTTAAACCATTTTGGACTGAAACTTTTCCAAAATGGATTACTAATATTCTTGCCTTTCTCTTCTGCCTTCTTAAATAGAATTGACAACTTAACTTTTTCTTAACGCTCCAAAGTAATTTTATGTACACAAAAGTTAGAGAGAGAAAACCATAGTTTTAGAGCTGAAAAGGAATGGAAAGGAGCTTAAAGACCATCTCATCCAATCTCTTCACCGCAAAGATGAAGAACCAGGAATATCAATATACGCCAAAAGCAATATAAACACATTTTCATCAAACCAATTTAAAAAGAATACTATGCCAAGATGGCATAGTGGCAATATTTTAAAACACAATAAATAAGTCATTAAGTATCGCAATTACACTAAAACTCGATGATAAAAATCACACCTACTTGTGTTTTCCACAGCAAGGCGCCTCTCCTGATTTGGTGGGGACTCCTCCTGTTCAGTCCGTGTAGACTGTTTTTGACCATTCCTCCCACGTTCTTTGTCGAACGCTCTTAATGTTTCCCTAAGATTTTCAAAGTTGAGGTTTTTATAGCCTAATGTGTTATTTACCCATGCTAAAAATTTATTTCTAGTGTCACTGGAGACCTCACAGTCTTTAAGAAAGAGGGAACAGATACTTTTTTGATCTGGTGGTGACATATCAGACTGTAAAAAGTACGACGGAAATCCTTGAACGTGATAGTTCTGGGATCCCACGGGCTTCACTCGCACCTTCACTCGCCACCAAGGACCCGTTAATGGAAAACGTCCAAACACTTCACACTGCTCTTGAGTGTTTTCATCAGCAATTACAACTTAAAAAAAAAAAAGTTAATTTAGTATATTTTAAAACCTCTCTCCCAATGTTTTTTTACATCAAATCCACTATTTCCTTTAACTCTCCACACCCCCATACACACACCCACGCACAGTACCCTGTACAGATATCTATTAGAGTGTCTATATTCCACTCGCTTGTTTATCTTCTCCCTCTACTGCACCGGAAGCCCTCTAAAAAACGACCACACTTCATAGTGTTTGTACTCCAAGAGGTAAGCATGGTGCATGGCAAAATTCTGCTGTTCAGCTTCTAAAAGTAGTCCTTTCTCTGCTACTCTGACTTCAGCCTATACTGACCTTTTTGCAGTTTCTAAATAAATGCCATGGCCCCTCCAACCATAGGACCTTTGCAGAAGCTGTTCCATCCGCCTTAAATGTCCTTCTCCTTACTGTTTATCCTGTTTACCACACACCTTGGCTTAACTGTCACTTCCTCAGGAAAGCCTTCCCTGAATCTCATGAATGTAACCTCTCATAGCACTCCTTAATATTTCTTCTAAGCACTGAGTAATATTAAAGTTACTTCTGTGATTAAAGAATGTCTGTTTCATTCATTAGACAGTAAGCTCCATTAGGACAGTAACCTCATCATCTTATCTCCCAGCAGCAAACACCTTGCTTGGAACATGGTAGCCAGTCACTAATACTTTTACAATAAATGACTAAACCCTCCACAGATACTTGAAAACTGTCTAACCCTATGTTGTCCACTGACATGTGACTGTTTAAAGTTCACGTCCCCTGTTGCACTAGCTGCATTTCAAGATCTCAACAGCCACAGGTAGCTAGTGGCTATTGTACTAGACAGCGCAAATATAAAACAAGACCATTATATAGAAAATTCCACAGGGCAGCACTAGTCTATACATTAAAATATTCTTAAATAGCAGTCATAAGTATAATTTATAGCACAGGAAATTACAAGGTAAACACATCGATTTTATTAACACAAGGTTAATGAATCAATAACGCCTTTAAGGTGTCTCTCCGGTGTGTGTGTTTTCTAAGCAGCTGAAAAATAATCCCATATTTGACTTCAGGCCCCGATTCTGGGTATGAATCAGGCGCAACACCCACTGTTGTAAACATCCTCGATTATAAAACTACTTCAAAGGGTTGTGAACCTTAAATGAGGTAATACAAGTCAGCACCAGCTTAACACACAGTATTTGCTCAAGTCACTGCTATTACTTTAATATTATTTTACGCTAAGTTGGACAAAATACCTAGGCCGTCCCAGGGGAAGCCTGTTAACCCCGATGGGGCGCCCCACTGAGGACAGGGCCACACTCGAAAGCAGTTTGTTTATCTCCCGTTACATCCTCCAGGGCCGGGCGCTGCCTCACCTCGCAGGCACCCGGGGAGGCTGCCTGCCTTTACGCCCCCACTGCAGAGCTCCTCGGCGTCGACAAACGCCGGATCGTCGTCCTCCACGTCTTCCATCAGGCACTCATCGCTCTCCTCCACCTGAGCCTTGGATGGGAGCAGGGGTCCGCAGAGTTCCCGCAGCTGCGGAATCAAAGTGGCCATAACTCAGTTCCCTGAAAGTCGACCCAAACTCGGGGAAACCGGGGCTGGCACACCGCCACGATCAGCCAATCAGGTCCGCGACTGCGAGACCGGCCAGTTCCCGGAACGCCGGCGCGTGCGTGCAGGGGCGGGGCTGCAGCGAAGCTCCTCCCCCAAGCGCAGGGAGGGCTGCGTGTCGGGCAGAGAGGGGGTGGCGCTCTTCTGCTGCTCGGAGTAACCAAATTTGAGTGTCCAGCAGAGGCCTGGACGAAATCAGCCCCGGGCAGCGGCAGGTGTCGCACCTGCTGAACCGCTAGCCTACAACGTCTCCTAAAGAGAGAGAATTGCGGGAAAGGCCACGTCCAGTGAGCATAGAGAGTCCGGAAAACCAAGCCCTCCTCCAAATCCCCAAACAAAATGCCAGGTGCCCTTCAGACCGGCTGCCCATCAGCCAAAGCACCGAACCGCGAATCTCCAGCCCTGAGACCCTTCTGGCTAGTCGTGACTGCTTTGGGCCTCCGTTTCCATAAGGAGCTGAATTTCTAACATCAATTCAAAGCCACTTACTCAAAGTGCAGATCTCTAGTCTTCATTCCACCCATTGTATCTGGATCTAGGGCAGGGAGCCAGGGCTTTATCTTTTAAGGGTACGCAGGTTATTTATTTTGATGCTTAGCCAGGTTTGGAAGCCACTGAATTGGGTGACATTCAAAGTCCTTTTCATCTTTTTTTTCAGTGAGTACACCTTGAGCTCCCAAATTTCTTTAAGCTGCTACCTGCTTACAGTGGGTGGGGAGGTGGGGGAATCCATCCACTCTTAACCCACAGTACAGATGGGGATGGGGGATGCAAAGCAGAAGAGAAAGGACAGTGGTTTAGAAAGTTATTCTGGTGCCATGATTCTCATACTTGATAGAATATTGTTTGAAAATACTCTTTGAGGAACACCTAAGATATATTACTACAATTACTATTTTGATACTACTTATTATGAAATTATTCTATCAATAATGTAAGAGGGTGCAGCGAAGAGGGGTCCCCAAAAAGGGGTTTGGAATGGTGTCCAGAACTCAAGGTGTACAGGAAACATTAGAAAGACATATAAGATGTCCTCACACCTTCTGTGCACAGGTGTGAGTTGGGGGAAGGGACAAATGGATCAGGGCCATTGAAAGCTGTTTTGTACAGCAACAGCTTTGCAGCTAACCTCTGGCATAGTCATTTAACATATCTATAACCTTTAACTGGCTTCATAGATATGTTAAATAGCTGTGGCCATGCTTTGAGCCAGGGGGATGGAAGTGACTTTCCACCCAAGATGTAACTGGGGGGCATGTCCCCCATGTGATGGAGCCTGTGTGAGAGCTTGGAGATGACTGGCTCCTCACCATGGGGCCATGCCTGCCCAGGCCCACTGTGGCAGCCCAGTAAAGCTGGCAGTGTATGAGAGTGCTGGCAAGTGTAGCCGATTGTAGGAGGAGTCAGAAATGGGAACTGGTGTGAGGATTTAAACCTGGTCTCGGCAGCCATGTGAGAGAGGGCCACGCACTTCTGGCAGAGTGGGGACCCCCACAGCCATGTGAGAAGAGAGAGAGCCTCAGGCAGCTGTGGTAGGGGAGAGGACCACATGGCTGTGGCAGTGCAGAGTCACGCTTCTGGCAGAGTGGGGACCCCTGTGGCTTTGGTAGAAGAGGACCATGCGACTTTGGGGTGCTCCCTTTGGCCACATGGCCTAGGAAGCAGGAGAGACTTTGCCTGGAAGAAGTGTGAAAGAACTCTTGCCAGTAGGCCATGAGAAGGTGCCACATGGCTTTAGATTAATTAGAGATCCTTCCTGGACAGTGACACAGCTGATACTGCCAGCAACCTGAATCATGGATGCCTACTTCTTTTCCTAAGTAACATACCCCAAATTAGGGCAGGGGAAGAAGAAAGGACTGTGGGTGTCTGTGGGTACCCTAAAGGACTTTGATACTTTAATGAAGACATTAGGTTACTACTTTAAGTCTGTATAGCATTAAATAAACATTTCCTTTCCTTTTCACAAATCTCTGGCCTTGAGAGATGTCTTTCCTATCTGGTGGTGGACAATGCAACCCTAGTTGGAGGGGACATTGACCCCCTCGTCTGTTCTGTAACAATAATACACCTAAAATAACTAAGCCTACACTGTTTGCTAAATCTAAAAGTATCTTATGATGGATTCTAATATAAACAAGAGCCAGCTCCAAAGGTTTAAGAAAAATAAAAGGTTTGTGAGAAAATACTAGTAAAATTGTTTTGGGGGATTTTTGTGTGTGTGTGTCCTTTAGGTATAAATGTCCCCATTTGTTGCTTTGAGAAGAAAAGTGCCCTGCTGCAGCTGACGAACCACCAGGGTGTCCAAGAATCATCTATATGAGGTTGAATCCCTTCCTTAACACTCACAGTGGCTACTGTTTCCACTACAACATTGAATCTGCTGGGTTACAAGTCACACTACTGGTGTCTTTGTTGCTAAAATCAGTGGCTACTTTTTAGCTATTGTCTTACCCCGTCTGTCAACAGTTTCTGACACAGGTAACAGTTTTCTTCTTGTAATACTCAGGTCTCTGGGCTTTTATGATTTGTCTTCTCAGGTCTCCCTCCTGCCTCTGGCTATGTATACTTTCCTGAGGCTCCCCCACTGGCCTCTGAAGTTCTGGGACCCCCTAGGATTCCATCCTAAGCACCTTCTCACTCTAGTCCTTCCTTCAATTATCTTTCACGTATTCAGGCAGCTACGTGCTACTGAGGGGCAGGGTGAGGCAGGCCTGTGTTAGGAGCTCTCATGAGTGTCCGTCACTAAAGCCCTGCAGGGAGACCTCTGTGTTCACCACAGACCTCTGTGGTTGCAACAGCCCCTCCCCCTAACTTGCTCTTCCCCTGTGTAAAATGGGGTTTAATGCTTCTTCTCCATCTTCTTCAGCTTCTGGCTCACCATGTATGCACAAACTGGGTAACAACCCTTTCTTTCTCCTGAATAAATCCTTTTCAGTGAGAGAATACTTAGTTTTGTTTACAGCCAACACTCCTAATCTGATCTCTAAACCTGTGCAAACAACTACCAATTAGATGCCATTATTGGATGCCCCTTAGCCACATCCAAACCAAAAGCTGTTCGCTGCCCAAATCTGGGTCACTTATGTGTGTATGCATAGGATATCCTTGTTACCAGCATGATGATTTGGGGACAGCACTCCAAAAGTTCGGGTTCTGATCATAGGAGTCATAGGGGACTTAAGAGTTGGATAATTTTACTTTAAGGTCAATACTTATAAGCCTAGAAAGTAATGCATAGGTTAAAGCTTTTGTTTCAGATCCTAGAGATAATACACATCCTGGCTCTGGGGAAAACAGCCGGCCTCCGGGGGTATAACTAAAGATTACCGCCTGGGGACATGTGGAGGCATCCAGGCCTTTGTGTTCCAGGGAGAGACAGATGACCACCAGTCCTGGGGAACAGCTAACTGCCCAGGGTGAGAATACTGCAGTTTTTTAATCCGATTTCCCTGAATTTCAAACCCCCTCACCACACTTTGTTCTCTGTTATAAAAACACTGGCTTGGAAAGAAAAAGCAAGATGGTCTGTTAGGGTATGAACCCACCATCTTCTCAGATCACCAGCCATCTGAATAAAGTGTCCATAAAGATTCAATCTCTGTCTCTGCTTATTGGGTTTGGTAGTAACAGGCAGCCTGAACTCCAGTGTCTTTTCCAGTTTCATATCTTGGCAACTCCATTCCAGGACAGACTTTGGTACTCTCTGGTAAGTCTGAGTATTTGGCGGGGAGTCCCATTGGCTGCCTGGGCTGAGAGGCCCCCAGGGGTTTGGATTTGGAGAATCACAAGCAGCTGCCAAGTGATTTCACTTGGGGATTCTCCCCCTCATTCTTGTACCTCTTGTTGTTTATCACATTGGATTGTTGCGCTTTCTGGTTCAGGTTAAAATCTGGGGTCACAACTTAGGTTGACTGGTACAGGTACCTTTCTGGGTTACAGAATTCAGTTTGAAAAAATGTCATCTGATCTGGTTTGGGCACCCTGCGTCTGAAGGAGCTGTTTGGAAAAGGATGTCTTTTTATCTGGTTTGGTCACCTGCTGTTTGGAGCTCCATCTGGTAGAATGGAGGGGGAACCTCCCTTCCAGGAAACAGCCCATTGGGGCGAGTTCTGTCTAATTCATTGACTTATAAACATATAACTAGGGAAAATCTGGTGTTATTGTAATACTGTTTGGCTTATGTATTGTGTAATTTAGATTCAGGAGAGCGCTGGTCACTGACTGGGTCTTTAAATTACTGTATTATACTGTAACTAGAGTTGTTTTATTAAAAATCAGGAAAGTGGGACAAAATCCTTACCTAGAAGTTTGTGTGGGTTTTTTTTTTGAGTTTACATGATAAAGGTGCAGAATTTAAAAAAAAGAAAAACCAAGTTAATGGCTCAGAGAAAAGGAAATTTGCATGTGAAAGACAGAAGCTCAGATCTAGGAGAGGGACCAGGAAGATGTAGATATTGTTACCTATGCGAGCTGGTCAGAGTTCCCACAGCCCTAAGGAATCTACTCAGCTGAGCGAACTGGGAAAGCGGGCCTGAACTGTCACCACCGTCTTGAACTGGTCAGGGAACTAAATTCGGTGGAGAAAGGGCCCCTACCGGCGCAGCACAATATGCTTTGTGGAGACGTCCAGTGGGAGTAGGGCCAGAGGGCCAGCCTGCTGGATATTACTGGGCACATACTCTGTTTTCTACATCAGATCTGTTAAACTGGGAAAGCTCATGCCCTTCTTATAGAGTTGATCTTGCTAAAAATGACTGATTTGGTTGCATCAGTTTTTGCCACCCATCATCCTGGTAGGGGACTCAAGACTTGGAAAATTTTAGCTTAAGGTAAAAAGTTACATCTAGCAAGTAATACGTATGTTAAAGCTTTTGTTTCAGAAACTACAGATAAGGCCTGTCCTGGCTCCTGGAAAAAGCCTGGCTCCTGACCTCCTGGGGCACTGGTAGAGATGACCGACCACTTGGGGACAAACTGGAGGCATCCAGGCCTCTGTGTTCCAGGGAGAGCAGAGGACCACCCTCCTCTGGGAACAGCTAAC